CGTATTGGCCAGGCTGGTCTTGAAGAACTCCTGACCTCATGATCCACCTGCTTTGGCCTCCCAAAGTGCTAGAATTATAGGTGTAAGCCACCACGCCCAGCCTCTGGTTGCTTAACTCCTTTGTCATGATGGAGTTTTTTTTTTTTAAGGGACAAGTCCTCCTGTCACCCAGGCGGGTGCAGAGCTCACTGTAGCCGCGAACTCCTGGACTCAGGTGATTCTCCCACCTCAGCTTCCAGAGCAGCTAGGACTACACGTGCATGCTACCACACCCAACTTTCTCATTTTATCCTTTTAGAGATGGAGTTGACTGGGATGATGCCAAACTCCTGGCTTCAAGTGATCCTCCCACCTTAGCCTTCTGAGCACTTAGGATTGCAGGTGTGAGCCAACTTGCCCTCCTGATGGATATTTTTAAAATATGGGAGTATCAGATTCAAACTTACTTCTTGAAAACAAAATTTAAATAACAAAAATCTGGGGCTGGGTGCAGTGTTCACACCTATAATCCCAACACCTTGGGAAGCTAAGGTGAGAGGATTGCTTGAGTCCAGCAGTTCAAGACCAGCCTGGGTATTAACATAGTGAGATCCCATGTCTAAAAAAAATTAGCTTCACGCATTGGTGCATACCTGTAGTCCCAGCTGCTCTTAGATGCTGAGATGGGAGGATCACTTGTGACTGACAGATAGAGGCTATATTGAGCTATGATCTCACCAATGCATTATAGCCTGGGCAACATAGCATGCCTGCAGGAGGGAAGAGCACAATTAAGTATTTTACCACCAGGCAGTAAATTACAGGCTAACACTTGTAATCCCAGCGTTCTGGGAGGCCAAGGTGGGAGGATTGCTTAAGACCAGCGGTTCAAGGCTGCAGTGAGCTACGATTGCACCACTGCACTGCAGTCTGGGTGACAGAGTGAGACTGGTTTTTTTTAGATGGGAGTTTTGCACGTTGCCCAGGCTGGAGTGCAGTGGCGTGATCTTGGCTCACTGCAACCTTCGCCTCCCAGGTTCAAGCATTCTCTTGCCTCGGCCTCCAGAGTAGCTGGGACTACAGGCGCCCACCACCACACCCAGTTAATTTTTGTGTTTTTAGTAGAGATGGGTTTCACCATGTTGGCCAAGATGGTCTTGATCTCTTGACCTTGTGATGTGCCTGCCTCGGCCTCCCAAAGTGCTGGGATTACAGGTGTAAGCCACCGCACCTGGCGGAGACTCTTGACTATTAAAAAAATTTTTTTGAGATGTTGTTTCATTCTTGTTGGCCCGGCTGGAGTACCATGGCATGATCCTGGTTTACCGCAACCCCTGCCTCCCAGGTTCAAGCGATTCTTCTACCTCAGCCTCCCAAGTAGCTAGGATTATAGGCATGTGCCACCATGCCCAGCTAATTTTCTATTTTTAGTAGAGTTGGGGTTTCTCCATGTTGGTCAGGCTGATCTCCGACCTCAGGTGATCTGCCCGGCTCTGCCTCCCAAAGTGCTGGGATTACAGGGGTTAGCCACCGCACCTGGCCAAAATAAAACATTTTAAAAGTATTTTGGACAGGCCCAGTGGCTCACACCTGTAATCCCAGCACTTTGAGAGGCTGAGGTGGGTGGATCACAAGGCCAGAAGCTCGAGACCATCCTGGCTAACATGGTGAAACCCCATCCTACTAAAAAGACAAAAAATTAGCCGGGCGTAGTGGAACGCACCTGTAGTCCCAGTTATTTGGGAGGTTGAGGCAGGAGAATCACTTGAACCCGGGAGGTGAAGGTTGCAGTGAGCCGAGATGGCGCCACCGCACTCCAGCCTGGGCGACAGAGCGAGACTTCATCTGAATAGCAAAACAAAACATATTTTACCCATCCACAGGCAGCAGACAAGGCAGTACCTTCTGTGACTGTCTGGCAAGGTAAGATGCATTATTCCTTGCTAGGTAAAGGGAAGGTAAAATCCTGAAACTATATGTATATATATATGTGTATGTATGTATATGTGCATACATGTGTGTGTCTGTGCGTATATGTATATATAACTTTATCTTGAGACAGAATCTCACTTTGTCGCCCAGGTTGGAGTGCAGTGGTGCCATCTTGGCTCACTGCAATCTCTGCCTCCCGGGTTCAAGTGATTCTCCTGCCTCAGCCTCCCAAGTAGCTGGGATTATAGGCGCCCATCACTACACCTGGCTAATTTTTGTATTTTTAGTAGAGATGAGGTTTTGTTGGCCAGGCTGGTCTTGAACTACTGACCTCAGGTTATCTGCCCACCTCAGCCTCCCAAATTGTTGGGCTTATAGACATGAGCCACCATACTTGGCCTGAAACTATATTTTTAAAAATAAAAGTATTCCCTTTTAAGTGTGAATTAAGAGTCAATGCTCCTTCTCACTACTCTTGTGAAAAAGAAATCACAGCTTCCGCATCAAGTCTATGTCTGGGTTACCATCAACCCACAAAAAAACAAGAGGAGGTCCCCATCTCCCGCCTCTGTGAGGCTTGCGGAGCTGTGGGTATCTGGACCAGCCTGGTCCTCAAAGTGTGGAATTAACACCTTTCCTCTAGCAACTGTTTCTGTTGCTGAGAACGGCACAGGCTCTCTCTGGCAGCCTGGTTCTCTCCAGGGGGAAGCATGTGAAGCAGAAGAAACATATGGCATCTGCACTTGGGGTGCCCAGTTCCAACCGGCCTCGCTATAAATGACTTTGCATTTCCTTTTTTAAAATTACAAAAATAATGCAACCAATACATAAACATATGCAGTGAAACACAGAGGGCCTTCTTGCAATAAATATCTTTTTTGTGTCTACCATGAGATGGAATGGGTAAAGGGGGCCACAGAGGGAAGAGATGCTGCCCCCTTGTGGGGCCGTGTCAGTCAGTCCCCTGTGCTTCCTGTGAAATGCTGTTACCACGTGCACCTCACTGGAGACCATGAAAGGGAAGAGTGTGACATCTCAGCTATCTTTGCTTTAAATAGAAATAAACAAACCTTAACTAAGACTTGAGCACACTTAGGCCAGGTGTGGTGGCTCATGCTGTAACCCCACCACTTTGGGAGGCCAGGGCAGGTGGTTCACCTGAGGTCAGAAGTTTGAGACCAGCCTGGCCAACATGGTGAAACCCTGTCTCTACTAAAAATACAAAAAATTAACAAGGCGTGGTGGTGCGCACCTGTAATCCCATCTACTAGGGAGGCTGAAGCAGGAGAATCACTTGAACCCGGGAGGCGGAGGTTGCAGTAGGCTGATGTTGCACCATTGTACTCCAGGCCTGAGCAACAGAGCAAGACTGTCTCAAAAAAAAAAAAAAAGTTTCAAAAGTTATCACCTTAACCAAATGATCAAGGTTAACATCACCAGTCTATATGATACAAATACTGTACATGACTGAATAAATCAACCAAGGGGGAAAAGAGATAACTCTCCCTTGCAGAAGAGTTCAGTAATTTATGTAGGTAGCTGCTCTGCCCTCAAGGAGGGCGTAACTTCCTTGAGGTGTGGGCTGCATGTACATAATTACTTCCTTTCAAATAGTAAGATACTGGCCGGCCCTAGGCACAGTGGCTCACGCCTATAATCCCAGCACTTTGGGAGGCCAAGGTGGACAGATCACCTGAGGTTTGGAGTTTGAGACCAGCGTGGTCAACATGGTGAAATCCCCGTTCCACAAAAAATGCAAAATTTAGCTGGGTGTGGTGGCACACGCCTGTAATTCCCAGCTACTCAGGAGGCTTCGGCATGGGAATCGTGTGAACCCAGGAGGCAGAGGTTGTAGTGAGCCGAGATCACACCACTGCAACTCTGGCCTGAGCAAAAGAGCAAGACTTTATCTCAAAAAAAAAAAAAAAAAAAAATAGTAATAATAGTGAGACAAGAATGGGCAGCTCCGCAGCAGAATATTTTCCCATAAACAATGTTTGCCAAGCCTCACTAAATAAAAATCAAAAAAGCAATGACATAATCTGTTTTTGCCAATCAGACTGGCAAAGTTTTAAACACTGATAATAGTGTTGGCAAGCATGTAAGGTAATACGTATTTTTGTATCACTGTAACATAAATTGGTAAAAACGTTTTGGCAAGCATAACTGACAATGAATTAAATGTCCCTACTCTTTGACCCAACAATTCTACTCCCAGGAATATATCCTCAAGTGATTTTTACCAGTGCTTAAAAATAAGAACAAAGTTGGGAGTGGTGACTCATGGCTATAATTCCAGCACTCTGGGACACCCTAAGCTCAGGAGTTCAAAACCATCCTGGGTAACATGGAGAGACCCCATCTCTACAAAATATACAAAAATTAGCTGGGCGTGATGGTGCAGGCCTGTAGTGCCATCTACTTGTGGGGGCTGAGGCAGGAGGATCACTTGACACTGCACTGAGGTTGCAGTGAGCTGAGATCATGTCACTGTATTCCAGCCTGGGTGACAAAGTAAGAGCCTGCCTCAAAAAAAGAACAAAAGTCAAAGATTACAGGCTGGGTAAAGGGTTCATGCCTATAATCCAAACTACTTGGGAAACAGAGATAGGATTAATTGAGCCCAAGAGTTTGAGACCACCTGGGCAACAATGTGAGACCCTATCTCTACAAAGATAAATAAGCAATAAAGGAATCTTTAAAAAAAAAAAGGTGTTTGGGCTGGGCATGGTGGCTCACACCTGTAATCCCAGTGCTTTGGGAGGCTGAGGCAAGAGAATCACTTGAACCTGGGAGGCAGAGGTTGCGGTGAACCAAGATCACACAGCCTGGGCTACACAGTGAGACTCTTGTCTCAAAAAAAAAAAACTGTGGGTAGCAGCCATGTAGTGGAAATCCCCCATGCCTGTCACTAGAGGAACCAGGAGATAAATGCGGGGACAGCCACACATTGGAAGGACAATGGACAATGTTTCCTGGGTGAGGAAGATGTATGTGTGCTGGACATATCAACAAGTCTAACACAGGCTGATCAGTGGAAGAGCAGGTCACATAGTAGTATGAATACAATGTTCCCGTTTTTTTAAAAGAAAAGAAAAATGGGTTAGTTTATGCAAATAAAAGGCAATATGATAGAACATTCACCAAGCTGCCAGGAATCAGGATCCCAGAGGAGTAGGGATAGAGCGCACTCTTACTTTATACACACACGCGTTTTTAAAATGAGTATGTATTTGTCTAATAAGCGGAAAAATACAAATAAAAACAAATCATGATTAGTAAAGCATTTCTCATACTTATTTTAAAATGTCTTACTTAGCATAATGAATGATGCATACAGCTATAATTTATCCATCCTTATTTATTTTTTTGTATCAGGGTCTCGCTCTTACCCATGCTGGAGTGCAGTGGCGCCATTTCAGCTCACGGCAGCCTCAACCCAGGCTTAAGCGATCCTCCTGCCTCAGCCTCCCCAGTAGCTGGGACTACAGGTGCGTGCTACCACACCCGGTTAAGTTTTTTCTATTTTTATTACAGATGGGGTTTCATCATTTGGCCGGGCGGATCTTGAACTCCTGAGCCAGTCCTGAACTCCTGAGCTCAACCGATCCACCCACCTCTGCCTCTCAAAGTGCTGGGATTACAGGTGTGAGCCACTGCGCCCGGCCAATCCATCCTTATTCATATGATGTAGGAATCAAAGTACCCCATAAGGTCCACTATAATGGATAAACAGCATAATCAGAGTTTTCCCTTGGTCATAATTTCTATTCCAAACTCTTACTCAGCTCCAGGCCCAGTGTGACACCCCAGGGGTAAGAACTAACTACATGTGTGCTCAGAAACTCACCTGGAGTCTCCTGGCTGCCACCACTGAGTACCAGGGGCCTAAGCAGAGGGAGCATCTGAGAGGAGAAGGCAGGCCCAGGACCAGCCCCTTCATCAGCCCTTGCCAGATCACTCTCTCTCGAGGGGTCAGGATTCACTGACTTCCGTGTTTCTCCCCAAATCTGAAGTTTACAAAAGTAGCTGAGCTGCTCATCAGGGAGACAGAAGACTACTTTCTGCTGTGGAGAACAGAGGTGAAAAGGAGAAGGGATGACCAAGGAAGTCTCTGGGTTTCAGGATAAGGAAGACGGCCCCAAGAGCAGGAGAAACACTTGTGAAGGGTCCAGTGAAGAGACAGATGGGGGACAGCTCTGACCTCTCTGCTCCCGCTTCCCTCGTTCCATCCATGGTGGCAGGGTTCACACCATGTCCCGCAGGGCCTCCTCCACATAACCTCCATGTCTACCATTTCTTCAGGGGCTGCAGCTGGTTTCACAATGCCTAGGCAAAATCAGGAGGGGGTCCTGGGGCCAGTGAATGCCAATGTGACCAGATTACTATAAAGATGGGGGAAATGCGGCTTTAAAAAAGTGGTGAAAGGACCCAATTTTCCAAAATGCAAAATTTTCCTTCTATTGCCCCCCATCATTTGCACACATTTTTGTCAAGTCCAAATATAATTTGAAGTGAGGTAGGTAGTTTCTCTCTCCTCGTGCCGCTATCCTTGGGGTGATGTCGGGGCCTGTGCCCTGAACACACTTGTCTCCCATGCTGGGGCAGTGCCAGGGCTGGCACCAGTGGCTGGTGGAGCTTCTCAGTTGGCTATTTTCTCGATCTCGTCCAAATCATCCGTGTCCAATCTTTCTATCTTCTTATCTGGAGAAAAAATACACAGGTCTCTACCCTGCCCGGGAATGTGTCCCGTGAGTAGGGGACAGCAGGGCCCCTAGTCACTGACAGCAACAGTCAGAGCCGAAGGCCCCCAAGCCCGGTCACAGTGGAGCTGTCCTTGGGGTCCCTGGGCCCTGAAGTCTCCAGGTGTGCTCCCTGAGAACTTCCATATGGTCAGAAAGGAGGTGGGGGTGCCAGGGACAAAGGCTGTCTCAGAGCTACAGAAGATCCTACCCCTTCCCCCACCCTGCCCCACTTAGGAAAGGGTGCCAGGCACAGGACCCTCCCCGGGACTCACTAAAATGCTCCTGGATTCTGTTCAGAATGTTCATGCTGTGCTTGCTGTCCACCATGTTCACTGCCAGGCCCCTCTTGCCAAAGCGGCCCGTGCGCCCGATCCGGTGTAGGTATGTCTCGTTGTCAGGGTTCCCATCCTTGTCCACGGGAAGATCAAAGTTGATAACGACGGACACTTGTTCAACGTCGATCCCTGCAGGAAGCAGAGTTGGATGCTGAAAGGACTAAGGACGGGAGACAGAAATAACTGTCGTCCACAGGTAGGTCAATGCATACCAACTTTGGATAGAGGGAAAGAATTTGGGACAGGCCGACTCTGGGAATTGAGTAAAAGAGAGGGCACATACAGGCAGGGAGCAGAACCTGGAGGAAAAGAATAGAACTTTCACAGGTGCCAACAAAATTATGAAATCCGTCAGTAAGCCTCTGGGAGACACAATGTTCTGGAGATGGGCACCCCTGGAAGAGCAGGCTCCGTTCTCTACCAGTCAGATGCCAGTACATTTCCTTCCACCAAGTCAGGAAGCCTGGCTTCTGTTTTTTTTTGAGATGGTGTCTCTCTGTCACATAGGCAGGAGTGCAATGGCGCAATCTCGGCTTACTGCAACCTCTGTCTCCTGGGTTCAAGCAAGTCTCCTGCCTCAGCCTCCCAAGTAGCTAGGACTACCAGCACACGCCATCATGCCCGGCTAATTTTTGTACTTTTAGTAGAAACAGGACTTCACCATGTTGGCCAGACCAGTCACGAACTTCTGACCTCAGGTGATCCACCCGCCTTGGCCTCCCAAAGTGCTGGGATTACAGGCGTGAGCCACTGGTCTGTGTGAGTTCTTATCACCTGAAGAAAATCCAGTCTCTCCTAGAAAGGAGTATGTCACCAACCCCATGCTGTATATCCATGTACACAGGAAAGTCGTCACCAACCCCATATATAACCAACCCCATCCTGTATACAAGGATTTCTGGCTCTAACTGGGCCTGGGACCCCGAGCCTGGCAGACCAGGTGGGACACATTCTCTGCTCACCGCGGGCACACACGTTGGTGGTCACCAGAACCTTCTCTTTGCCCTCTCGGAAGCGCTCAATCACCGCAGCCCTCTGCTCCACCATCATCTCCCCACTCAGCAGAGCCACCTGGTGGCCTTCTTTTGAGAGCTCTGCTGCCAGCCAGCTAGCTGTTTTTCGAGTCTGGAGGAAAAAAACAATTGAGAGATGAAAGCATTTGAGTATATTCTTTTTACTTTTTGAGACAGGGTAATCTTAAAACTCCTAGGCTGAAGCCATTGTCCTGCCTTGGCTTCCCAAAGTGCTGGGAGTATAGGTATGAGCCACCGCGGTCAGCTGAAGGTATTTTTTAATCTGGAAGGCTATACCTAAAATTTAGCAGCTAAAGGCTACATTTCTTAAAATTATAAACCAGATATAGTGCAACAGGAAGTAACAATGTCACCTGGGTTGTAATCTTACAAAAGTATTTGTAGAGGCTCGGCGTGGTGGCTCACACCTGTAATCCTAGCACTTTGGGAGGCTAAGGTACATGGATCACTTGAAGTCAGGAGTTCAAGACCAGCCTGGGCAACATGGTGAAACCCTGTCTCTGCTAGGCGTGGTGGGGAGCCTGTAAGTCCCAGCTACTTGTGGGGGCTGAGGCAAGAGGATAGCTTGAACCTGGGAGGTCGAGGCTGCAGTGAGCAGCCAAGATTGCACCAACGCACTCCAGCCGGGGCAACAGAGTGAGACCCTGTCTCAAAAAAAAAAAAAAAAAAATTTTATACCACAAAATATTTAACCTAGGGCACAAATATGAGTTGATTTTCTTGGTTTTGCAATAATATATTATCCACAAATAAGACATAAAGTTCAGGGCCTCTGTGTTTAGGCTATGTATACCTTGGGATAGTACAATTAGCCACTAAAGGAGAACCTGTGTCTTAAATCTTCACCAACCACTTCTCTTCCCATGGCACCCAGGGACATCCAGTCCTCCTGAGCCCTGCTTGGAGCTGGCTGAGAGGGAGGGGCCAGGCCTGCTGCTGCTACTCACATGGCAGAAGATCATGGCTTGAGCAATGGTGATGGCCCCGTAGAGGTTACACAGGGCCTGGAACTTCTCGTCTCTGCTGCTGCACAGGACATAGTACTGTTTGATGGTGTCCAGGGTCTCTTCCTCACGCTTCAGTTTGATAACGTTTGGGTCTGGGACCACTTTCTGGGCAAACTTCCACACAGAGTCTTCAAAGGTGGCGGAGAAAAGCAGCATCTGGCAGTTCCTGGGCAGCATCCTGCAAGGGAAGGCCCTGGCATGTGGCCCCAGGTGTGCCCGGGAAGCAACAGAAGCACAGCCTCCCCAGCTGGGAGGGTCTAGGTGCCCAGGAAGGCTGACGGGGGAGAAGCATCTCGGGGAGGAGGAGCAGCAGGCCTGGGTTGAGGGTAGGGGTAGGGAAGAGTCCCTAGATCTCCTTTCTCAACCCAGGATTGGAGGGACTGTGGTCGGTGCTGACATGGAAATGGCCCGTCAAACAAATGCTGCTGAGAATGCCAGAGCCAAGACCCAGCAGAAGCCAGAGGAGGCGTCTGAAGTAAAGGGAGAAGACGCTGCCGAAGAGGAGGCTGAGAAGTCCTCTGCCCTCGAGATCCCTACCTCTGGATGCGGATGCTCTGATCCTGGTGGCCCTGAGTGGCTATCATGACGTCAGCCTCATCCAGAACAAACACCTTGATTTTCTTGGGATCAATGAACTTGAGCTTGGAGCACCAGTCCAGCACGGTCCCAGGGGTGCCAATGACAATCTGCTCACTGATCTTCTGGCCTCTTTCCACTGTGGAGACCCAGGTGACTTTCATGGGTATTTCAAAGGCAAAGCCCGCTCTGGAAATCAAAGCTCTGCCCATCCTTCTAGGACTAGGAGAACAAGTTATTTCCAGATGTCAAAACACACATGAGTGTTCCCTTCAGCCTTGGTTTCTTCTGCTGTGAAGTGGCCAGATGCCACCTATCTCAGTGCACTGTGTTCAGGATCAAATCCCACACAGCAAACCTTGAATAAGCATCAGTTCCCTTCTGCTTCCTCCTATCATTCAACATCATCCAACTCTTTATGTTTGTTTGTTTGTTTATTTATTTATTTATTTAGAGACAGGGTGTCACTCTGTTGCCCAGACTAGAGTGCAGAGACACAGTCATGGCTCACTGCAACTTTGACCACACAGGCTCATTCAGTCCTCCTGACTCAGCCTCCTAAGTAGATGGGACTACAAGCTGGCACTTCCATGCTTGGCTAATGTTTTTATTTTTTGTCTCATTATGTTGCCCAGGCTGGTCTCAAACCATGGGTTCAATCGATCCTCCCACCCTGGCCTCCCACAGGGCTGAGATTACAGGTGTCAGCCACTGCACCTGGTCTTGCTTACTTTTAAAGAAAGACAGCTGCTCCCGACCTTCCATCCTTAGTCCTGTTAATCCCTCTTTAGTAAGCATGTCCCAGAAGTCTGGATGCCAAATTCAAAACTCTACCTTCTGAGTGAAGAACTCTAGATATTAAGAACCCCCAGCTATGCATGAATTTTTTTTTTCAATCAGCCAAAAATCCTATTTTAAGACTGAAAAAGACTGTTAACAAATGAGCAGGTATTCAGGTAGATGTACTAAGAGCAATGAAGTTAGGCTCCAGGGTCAGACTGAATTAGAAAGCTGAATATGGTCATCGCATCTTCAAAACTCAAACACCCGAACCCCTACCCTGCTCACTGTTCAGGTGTCACCTGCTATACTCACATTTATTGCCTCGAACGGCATAGGCAAGCTTCAGCTCTGGGTAAAATTTGCCCATCTGCTCAATCACGTTTCCTGTTTGAAGCGCCAGCTCGTATGTTGGGGAGAGGCACAGACACTGACGGAAAAGTCATCAAGCATGAGTTTAGGAGAGCCATTTGATAACAGGCCTGAAAGCACCCAGCCTGCTGATGTTATTAGCACTTGAATAACACAGGGAAGCAGGTCCTCCCACCCAGGCCCAGCTTTCAGCTGTAGACCAAAGCCTGCAGCAGGCGGCCCTGGTGTGGTGGAGACCTTTGGAAGCCAAGATCTAAGACTGCTGCTTCCGTGCATTCTCCCAGTATAGGAACGCTCTCTGCTTACGCCACAGCCTAAGGCACCAGAAGATTCAGATGGCACCGTGCTCCCCAGAGCAGTCAACCCAGGACACCCAGCCCCGCAAAGCCCTCACCTGGGGGTGTCTGTCTGCTGGCTCCACTCGGCTGAGCATGGCCAGGACAAAGGCAGCTGTTTTACCAGTGCCAGACTGAGATTGGGCAATCAGGTTCTGTGGGCTGGATCAAGGAAGAACAGAAATGAAGCTTATATTGGTGAAACTCAGTAACACATCAAAATGTTCTTTCTGAATGGAAGGCAAATTTCCCCCCAAAATTACTTTGATACATTTTTTATGTGCTGTTAAAAAGCTGCTTAAATCATAAAGGAAATGATTGTTTTAAATGGGCTTACACCAAGAAATTCTCATTCTGGCCTCTAGTACAGCTAGGGTACAGTAGTTTTGCACCACAAGGGTCGCAGGAAAATCAAGTGTGCAGAGTACAATCTGTGCCCAGGCAAGTCCCCAGTGATATTTTTGGCTGAGCCCTGATGCATCCTCAGAAGTTGGCTGCTTCTGTGTGTGCCTTTCCCCAGCTTTATGGAGAAGATGCCAAGTCAGGTGGATGTTTTACATTCCACTTTATGGAACCCAGCATCATGGGAACAGGTGGCATGTTTGTCATTAAAAAAGATAAATAGGGCGGGGCACGTTGGCTCACGCCTGTAATCCCACCACTGTGGGAGTTTGAGGCGGGTGGAACACCTGAGGTCAGGAGTTTGAGACCAGCCTGGCCAACATGCTGAAACCCTGTCTCTTCTAAAAATACAAAAATTAGCTGGGGGTGGTGGTGGGCACCTGTAATCCCAGTTACTTGGGAGGCTCAGGCAGAAATGCTTGAACACAGAAGGCAAAGGCTGCAGTGAACCAAGACTGTGCCACTGCACTCCAGCCTGCAGGACACAGTAAGACTCTGTCTTAAAAAAAAAAAAAAAAAAGATAATAAGCTAAGGTGGGCAGATCACTTGAGGAAAGGAGTTTGAGAACAGCCTGGCCAACATGGCAAAACCCTGTCTCTACTAAAAATATAAAATCAGCCAGGTGTGGTGGCACAGCCTGTAATCCCAACTACTCAGGAGGCTGAGGCAGGAAAATCACTTGAACCCAGAAGGCAGAGGTTGCAGTAAGCTGAGATCGTACCACTGCACTCCAGCCTGGGCAACAGAGAAGACTCCATCTCAAAAAAACAAAAAAAAAAGAGAGAGATAAATTTGTCAGATGCAGTAACACATGCCTGTAATCCTAACACTTTGGGAGGCTGAGGCAAGAGAATCACTTAAGGCAAGGAGCAATACTCTTTTTCTTTAAAAAAAAAAAAAGCTTTTTTTGAGACAGAGTCTCACTCTGTCACCCACTGGTATTATCTCAGCTCACTGCAACCTCTGCCTCTTGGGTTCAAGCGATCCTCCCACCTCAGCCTCTCTAGCAGCTAGGATTACAGGCATCGGCCACCATACCCGGCTAATTTTTATGTATTTTTGTAGAGATGCAGTTTCACCATGGTGGCCAGGCTGGTCTCAAACTCCTGACCTCAAGTGATACATCTGCCTCAGCCTCCCAAACTACAAAAAAATTTTTTTAAAGTCAGTGGGGCATGGAGGCACATGCCTATATTCCCAGCTGCTCAGGAGGCTGGGAAGTGGGAGGATTCTTTGAGCCCAGGAGGTCGAGGCTGCAGTGGGCTATAACTGCACCACTGCCCTCTAGCCGATGAAACACAGTGAGACCCTGTCACAAGAAGCAACCGGAAATAATGACTCATCTCAGGATGGCACTCACTCTGGTTGGGGTGGGAGAAAGATGTGGAAGGAGGGGAATTCAGGGGCTTCAACTAACTGGACCTGCTTCCTTTCTTGGCAGGATAGGGCTACAGAGGTGTTCTTGGTATTATTCTTTACACCTTTGTGTAGGTCTCAAAAATTTCCAAATAACATTTTTTGTTTGTTTTTTAATTCTTTGCAATGCTATTTACATCAAAATAGAGTTTTTCAGGCCAATTTTTTTTTTTTTTTTTTTTTTTTGAGACAAGAGTCTCGCTCTGTTGCCCAGGCTGGAATGCAGTGGTGCAATCTCAGTTCATGGCAACTTCTGCCTCTGGGGTTCAAGCGATTCTCCTGTCTCAGCCTCCTGAGAAGCTGGAATTACAGGCACATGCCACCACAACAGGCTAATTTTTGTATTTTTAATAGAAACAGGGTTTTGCCATGTTGGCCAGGCTGGATTTGAACTCCTGATTTCAGATAATCCACCCGCCTTGGTCTCCCAAAGTGCTAGGATTACAGGAGTGAGCCACTGCGCAGGGCCGTAAACTCAGTTTTTAAGATAGCATAGAATCAAGCACTGCCTTTCTCTTATCAGTTTCTATTGTTAACTGGGAAAGGCAGAAATTCTACCTAACTCCATCTGATTCTTTCTGCAATTGCCCAAGCTGTTTACCTGAAGAAACACATGGCCCCAAACAGCCTCTCATGTTCTCAGGCACAAAAACGAAGTTTGTGGAAGACTGACTTAATTACATTTGGGAGAGATGCGCTTGGCTCTGCATACTCACGGTTCAGCAAGCATCATGGGTAATGCGTTCTCTTGTATCTTGGATGGTCGGTTGAAGCCCATAGCATAGACTCCCTGGAGCAGCTGTGGTTTCCTAGGAAGCCAGAAAGACAGAAGATGGATGCCTAGAAGTTGGAATTGTTTTAGAGGCCTAGAATCTTATCTTTTTCTATATCTAGTAAGGAATGATAAGAATGCTTCCTACCTCTGTCAGACCTATTTTCCTATGCCTTAAAAAACACTGTTAAAAACCAAACCAAACCAAGCTACAGTCTTTCCCTAACGAATCTTAATCTGTAACCATTCTACAATTCACAAAATACAGACTGGTTTCTTTTCTCAGAGAAATTAATGCTTTCAGCAGACCCACAAATCTGGCTGGCCTTGGAGGACAAGTATTCCGTGAACACAGTAAGGCAGTGATTATTAATTCATAGCATTAAATAAAATATATCTAAAAATAGGCCAGGTGCAGTGACTCATGCCTATAATCTCAATACTCTGGGAGGTCAAGGCAGGCTGACCTCCCGAGGAGTTCGAGACTAGCCTGGGCAACACAGTGATACTCTGTCTCTATAAAAATTACAAAAATTAGCTGGGCACACCTGTAGACCCAGCTACTCAAAAGGCTGAGGTGGATGGCTCGCTTAAGCTCCGAAGGTCAAGGGTGCAGTAATCTGTGATTGAGCCACTGCACTCCAGCCAGGTGACAGAGTGGGACCATCTCAAAACTAAGTAAATAAATGAAAATAGGCCGGGCGCACTGGCTCACGCCTGTAATTCCAACACTATGAGAGGCCGAGGTAGGTAGATCAGGAAGTCAGGAGTTTAAGAGTAGCCTGGCCAACATAGAGAAACCCCATCTCTACTAAAAACACAAAACATTAGCCAGGCATGGTACCGCCTGCCTATAATCCCAGCTATTCAGGAGGCTGAGGCAGGAGAATCGCTTGAACCAGGGAGGCAGAGATTACAGTGAGCAGAGATTGAGCCACTACACTCCAACCTGGGCAACAGTATGAGACTCCATCTCAAAAAATAATAATAAATTAAAATAAACAACTGGCCGGGCACGGTAGCTCACGCCTGTAATCCCAGCACTTTGGGAGCCCAAGGCGGGCGGATCACCTGAGGTCAGGAGTTTGAGACCACCCTGGCCAACATGGTGAAACCCCGTCATTTTTTTTAAAAAAGAAAATAAACAATATTGACTATACTGCTAAGATTTAGAAGTCCTTTTGTTCTATGTTCCTTCCAAAGCCAGCTGTCCAAATATTCGGGACTATCAAGAGGTAAGGAAATTGATGGGCTGGGTGTGGTAACTCACTCCTGTAATTCTAGCACTTGGGGATACCTAGGTGGGAGGACTGTTTGAGGAGTCCAGAAGTTCAAGACTGGCCTGGGCAACATAATGAGACTCTCTCTCCAAAAAAACAAAATGAAACAAAAAACAAACATGAGCTGGGCATGGTGGCATGCACCAGTAGTCCTAGTTACTTGGGAGGCTGAGGCAGGAGGATCGCCTGAGCCTAAGAGTTTGAGACTATAGTGAGCTATGATTGCACCACCCCACTCAGGGCTGGGCAACAAAGTCAGGTTATCTCTTTTAAAAAAAACGGCCAGGCCAGCACAGTGGCTTACACCTGTAATCCCAGCACTTTGGGAGGCTGAGGCAGGTGGATCACGAGGTCAGAAGTTTAAGACCAGACTGGCCAACATGGTAAAACCCCATCTCTACTGAAAAATACACAAATTATCTGGGCATGGTAGCTCGTGCCTATAATCTCAGCTACTTGGGAGGCTGAGGTAGGAGAACTGCCTGAACTGGGACCCAAGAATGGGAGGTTGAAGTGAGCCAAGATCGTGCCACTGCACTCCAGCCTGGGCTACAGAGCGAGAAAAAGGCCGGTGTAGCGGCTCATACCTGTAATCTCAGCACTTTGGGCGGCCAAGGTGGGTAGATCACGAGGTCAGGAATTCCAGACCAGCCTGGCCTATGTGGCGAAACCCTACCTCTACTAAAAACACAAAAAATTAGCCAGGCATGGTAGTGGGTGCCTGTAATCCCAGCTACCCAGGAGGCTGGGGCAGGAGGAGAAAAAAATTTCCTTTTTTTTTTTTTGAGACCGACTCTTGCTCTGTTGCCCAGGCTGCAGTGCAGTGGTGCAATCTCAGCTCAATGCAACCTTCCCGTCCCAGGTGCAATTCTGTGCCTCAGCCTCCAGAGTAGCTGGGATTATAGGCACCCGCCACCACACCTGGCTAATTTTTAAATTTTTAGTAGAGATGGGGTTTCACCATCTTGGCCAAGCTGGTCTTGATCTCCAATCTTGTGATCCACCCGCCTCAGCCTCCCAAAGTGCTGGGATCACAGGCGTGAGTCACTGCGCCAGGCCTTTTTTTTTTGACACAGAGCCCTGCTCTTGCTGCCCAGGCTGGAGTACAGTGGCATGATATCAGCTCACTGCAACCTCCACCTCCCAGGTTCAAACGATGCTCCTGACTCAGCCTTCTGAGTACCTGAGATTACAGGCTCGCACCACCATGCCCGGCTAATTTTTGTATTTTTATTAGAGACGGAGTTTTGCCATATTGGCCAGGTTGGTCTCGAACTCCTAACCTCAGGTGATCCACCTGCCTCTCGGCCTCCCAAAGTGCTAGGATTATGGGCATGAGCCATACCACACAGCCAGAAAAAATAAAATTGATGAAGCCAGTTTCTAGTAGCTGATATACAGTAAATAGTTAAAGGAAGTTTGATTAACCACTAAACTTTATAAATGCTCAGATTCACTTATGTCTAAACAGACAAGCACTAACTACTTCTTTTTCTTTTGTTTTGTTTTTTTCTTTTCTGTTTTTTTTTATTTTTTATTTTACTTTTTTTTTTTTTGAGACGGAGTTTCACTCATGTTACCCAGGCTGGAGTGCAATGGCGCGATCTCGGCTCACCGCAACCTCCGCCTCCTGGGTTCAGGCAATTCCCCTGCCTCAGCCTCCTGAGTAGCTGGGATTACAGGCACGCGCCACCATGCCCAGCTAATTTTTTGTATTTTTAGTAGAGACGGGGTTTCACCATGTTGACCAGGATGGTCTCGATCTCTTGACCTCGTGATCCACCCGCCTCGGCCTCCCAAAGTGCTGGGATTACAGGCTTGAGCCACCGCGCCCGGCCTACTACTTTTTTTTAATAGAGACGATCTCACTCTGTCATCGAGGCTGGAGTGCAGTTGTGTGATCTGGGCTCAATACAACCGACACCTCCCGGGCCTCAAGAGATCCTCCCACCTTAGCTCCTCTAGTAGCTGGGACTGCAGGCACGTGCCAGCAAACCCCACTAACTTTTAAAAAAATTTTTTGTAGAGATGGGGTTTCACCATGTTGCCCAGGCTGGTCTTGAACTTCTAAGCTCAAGAGATCCCCTCGCCTTGGCCTCCCAAAGTGCTGGGATAACAGGCATGAGCCACTGCACCTGGACACCAACTTCTTATGTAAGCAGCGACACAAGAATTATCCATTTAAGTTGCTCTTACATTGTATTTACAACAAGCTCTCTGCTACCTCTAAATTGACAAGATGTTTAAGAAAAATCATACCAGATTGTTTCTAAAGAAAAGGCAACCCAACTGTTTTCTAAGCCTTCCTTGGAGTTTAGCAGGCTCTCTAAAAAGCAAATTGTGGCGTATGTTGGTTCTCAGACACAAAAAACTCTAAAAACATTATCTTTTGTGTCTTTCATTTGGGAGAAAATGCTGTGACACTTGGCAGCTTCTGATATGGTTGCCATATCAGAAGCTTTTAAGTACAAATCTTTTAAGTACAAAGCAGACCAACTATATTAGGTGACCTTGGTTTCATTCTTTGTTTCCTTTTCCCGCCAACAACTAAATCAGACAGAATCTGCCTTTCACAGAGGACAATTCATCAGTGGTTACACTGAGAGCTCACATCGTCTAAATGAAAGGAATATAAAAAGCCCGTTGGAAGGGCAAACTATCACTCTGAGGAAATAATACCGCATGTCTAGCTGCCCTGAAACAGCTTAGGAATAGAAGTAGAGATGACAGATTTGGTGAATAAAGCCCTTGACAGAGGAAACACATAAAAAAGATAATTTTCCAAGAATTTTTTTTTTTTTTTGAGACAGAGTTTCTCGCTCTTATTGCCCAAGGTGAAGTGCTGGAGTGCAACGGCATAAGCTCAACTCACTGCAACGTCTGCTTCCTGGTTCAAGCAATTCTCCTACCTCAGCTTCCTGAGTAGCTGGGACTACAGGCATGTGCCACTATGCCCGGCTAATTTTTTTGTACTTTTAGTAGAGATGGGTTTCACCATTTTGGCCAGTCTGGTCTCAAACTCCTGACCTCAGGTGATCTGCCTGCCTCAGCCTCGCAAAGTGCTAGGATTACAGACGTGAGCCACTGCACCCAACTATAAGTGAATTTTTAAACAGTCACATTTTAGGTCAGGAACGGTGGCTCATGCCTGTAATCCCAGCACTTTGGGAGGCCAAGGCAGGCAGATCACCTGAGGTCAGGAGTTCGAGACAAGCCTGGGCAACGTGGTGAAACCTCATCTCTATTTTAAAAGAAAATTGTTATTGGGCCAGGTGCAGAGGCTCACACCTGTAATCCTAGCAATTTTGGAGGCTGAGGCAGGAGGACTGTTTGAGGACAGGAGTTCAGGACCAACCTGGTCAACACAGTGACACCATGTCTCTATTTAAAAAAATAGCCGGGTGCGGTGGCTCAAGCCTGTAATCCCAGCACTGTGGGAGGCCAAGGCGGGTGGATCACGAGGTCAAGAGATCGAGACCATCCTGGTCAACATGGTGAAACCCCGTCTCTACTAAAAATACAAAAAATTAGCTGGGCATGGTGGCGCGTGCCTGTAATTCCAGCGACTCAGGAGGCTGGGGCAGGAGAATTGCCTGAATCCAGGAGGCGGAGGTTGCGGTGAGCCGAGATCGCGCCATTGCACTCCAGCCTGGGTAACATGAGTGAAACTCCGTCTCAAAATAAAATAAAATAAAATAAAATAAATAAAAATAATAATAAAATAAAAAATAAAAAATAAATAAATAAATAAAAATAAGGGCCAGGTGCGGTGGCTCACGCCTGTAATCCCAGCACTTTGGGAGGCTGAGGTGGGCAGATCACGAGGTCAGCAGTTCGAGACCAGCCTGGCCAATATGGTAAAACCAAATCTCTAATAAAAATACAAAAATTAGCCAGGCATGGTGGCGTTTGCCTGTAGTCCCAGCTACTGGGGGAGCTGAGGCAGAAGAATCGCTTGAACCTGAGAGGTGGAGGTTATAGCCAGCCAAGATCATACCACTGCACTCCAGCCTGGGTGATAGAGCAAGACTCCATCTCAAAAAATAAACAAACAAATAAATATGGCTGGGCACCTTCGCTCATGCCCGTAATACCAACAGCCTGGGAGGCTAAGGTGGGCAGATCACTCGAGGCCCGGAGTTTGAGACCAGCCTGGCCAACATGATGAAACGCTGTCTCTACTAAAAATACCAAAATTAGCCAGGTGTGGTGGCTCATGTCTGTAATCCCAACTACGTTAGAGGCTAAGGCACGAGAATCACTTGACCCCAGAAGGTAGAGGCTGCAGTGAGCCAAGATTGCACCACTGTGCTCCAGCCTGGGCAACAGAGTGAGAATCAGTCTCAAAAGTAAATAAATAAATAGAAATAAAAAATAAAATTGTTCTTCAAGATTACTTAACAACTAGTTAGCTTTCTTAAGTGTTTCTTACTCAGTGGTAATAGCTGAAAGGAATGTGGCCTCTATTTGTCGACACTGGGCATGCTATAGATTTTGCTGAACTAAGGCAAAGAATCCACTGATTCCACATTCTGTTTTTTTTTTTTGAGACAGTTTCACTCTTGTTGCTCAGGCAGGAGTGTAATGGCATGATCTTGGCTCACTGCAGCCTCTGCCTCTTGGGTTCAAGCGTTTTTCCTACCTCAGCCCTCCTGAGTAGCTGGGATCACAGGCATGTGCCACCACGCCAGGCTATTTTTGTAGTTTTAGTAAAGACAGGGTTTCTCCATGTTGGTCAGGCTGGTCTTGAACTCCTGACCTCAGGTGATCCGCCCGCCTCAGCCTCCCAAAGTGCTGGGATTACAGGTGCGAGCCACCGTGCCTGGCCGAATCCACCACATTCTTATTCATCAGCTACTTTCTATGAATGCGATCCTGGCAGGCAATAGTAAGTAGATCTTGTGTTCCTCACAACACCCAGTACTGTGGCAGGTATATAACACACTGATCCACACTTAATCCTCTTTACTAATTTACTGAAGAAAACCAAAAACATAGTATGACCTTCAGTGCTTTCCACTTAGATACAAGAAATTCAGGCTCCTTTGATGGATTTTTTTTTTTTTTTTGAGACAGTCTTGGTCTGTCACCAGGCGCCAGGCTGGAGTGCAATGGCGCGATCTCAGCTCACTAAAACCTCTGCCTCCCGTGTTCAAGCAATTCTCCTGCCCCAGCCTCTCAAGTAGCTGGGACTACAGGCACGCACCACCACGTCTGTCTAATTTTTGTATTTTAGTAGAGACGGGGTTTTACTATGTTGACCAGGATGGTCTCAATCTCATGACCTTGTGATTTGACTGCCTTGGCCTCCCAAAGTGCTGGGATTATAGGCGTGAGCCACCGCACCCTGCCCTAGATTTTTTAAAAAGCAGATAAACTGTTCTTAAGACCATAAATCCTATAGTCTAACAAAAAGGCTTACCTATGTTTTTTTAGACAAAGTCTTGCTCTGTTGCCAGGCTGCAGTGCAGCGGCACAACCTTGGCTCACTGCAACCTCTGCCTCCCGGATTCAAGTGATTCGCCTGCCTCAGCCTACTGAGTAGCTGGGATTACAGGCACAAGTCACCATGCCCAGCTAATTTTTGTATTTTCAGTAGAGATGGGGTTTCACCATGTCGGTCAGGCTGGTCTTGAACTCCTGACCTTGTGAGCCACCTGCCTCGGTCTCCCAAAGTGCTGGGATTACAGGCATGAGCCACCATGCCCAGCCTTTTTTTTTTTTTTTTTAAACCAAATAGCACATATTCTCACTTAAGGGCTTACCTAATCAGAAATGTTCCTGACATCCAGAAATCACCTGTCAGCCACTATTTTACTGAAAGTTCTAAGAGCATAAAAGAAATAAGACTTTTAGCTATGATGAATAAATTTGAGGCATTTGAAAATTCCTACCAAGAGAATAGGGTAGCCAAGACACAAGGGTGGGAGATTAATGCTGCAAATTTTTTGTACTTTTTGACTTATGAATCATGTGACTTATTCATGTGACTTCTTTCCAAAGAAGAAAATACACTAACTTTGTAAAATTATCACAAGAATCTCTGAGATGCTAAGTTTTATTGGGGAGAGATTAGCAAGGAAGAGCTGTTGAAAGGAGCAAATACTCACAGTCGAAGCTCTTCGAAAGACTTCACTGAGTACAGGGGGGAGTTTGGATCCCGCTGGAGGACTTCCACTTGATTTGTGTTATCGACAAGGTTGCTTCTGATCAGCTTGTTGAGTAAGGACTGGGCAGCTCTGTCCTCTGTCAGGAAGAAACCAGTAGATCTTCACACTCATCTGGCAAACCTCACCCTAATGAAGCCGCTCATTCTCCCTCTCTATACTAGCACCTGTGCAGTCAAGCATGGCTGGAGAAAAACCACCACACTGATAGGTCTCACTTTATTTATTTTAGAGACGGGGGTCTCACTGTCATCCAGGCTGGAGTGCAGTGGTATAATCATAGCTCACTGTAGCCTAGAATTGCTGGGCTCAGGTGATGCTCCCACCTCAGCCTCCCAAGTAGCTGGGAGTCCAGGTGTGCACTACCACACACAACTTATTCTAAAATCTTTTGTAGAGACAGGGTCTCACTATGTTGCCCAGGTAGGTCTCAAACTCCTGGCCTCAAGCAGTCCTCCCATCTCGACCTCCCACAGTGTTGGGATTACAGGCGTGAACCACCATATCAGGCCTTGTTTGGTTCTCCTCCTCTCACTGACAGTTCCTTCTCTGATTCCGCTCATCTCCTGGATATTATAGCTTGGAGTGCCTCTGGCTCCAGAAAGGCAAGCCCTGGGTCATACTGTCTCTTGCCAAGGGCATCCAAGAATAATTACCTTTCTCCTCTTCATCTGTTTTCTCGGCAGTGGTACTGGTTTTGATAATACCTACACAAGAAAACAGTTGTCATAATTAGAAAGGCAAATATGAGAACCACCTAAAATGTGGGACAATATAAGTAAATACACTGAAATTTATCTTATTTATTTATTTATTAGATGGAGTTTTCCTCTTGTCGCCCAGGCTGGAGTGCAATGGCGAGATCTCAGCTCACTGCTCTGCCTCCTGGGTTCGAGCAATTCTATCGCCTCAACCTCCTGAATAGCTGGGATTACAGGCACACACCACCACACGCAGCTAATTTGTGTATTTTTAGTAGAGACGGGGCTTTGCCATGTTGCCTAAGTTGGTCTTGAACTCCTGACCTCAATCAAGTGATCCGCCCACCTGAGCCTCCCAAAGTGCTGGGATTACAGGTGTGAGCCACTGCACCCAGCCTGAAATGTATTTTAAGTAATTAAAACATAAATAGTTGGCATTTCTTTATGTTTAGTGAATTTTTACATTTCGAATTTTTTTTTTTTTGAGACCGAGTCTCCCTCTGTTACCTAGGCTAAAGTGCAGTGGCGAAATTAAAGCTCACTACAACCTCAACCTCCTGGGCTCAAGTGATCCTCCCACATAGGTGCATGCCACCACATCCTCCGGCCTCAGCCTCCTGAGTAGCTAGCACTACAGGCATGCACCACTATTCCCAGCTAATTTCTTTTTTTTTTTTAGATGGAGTTTCGCTCTTGTTACCCAGGCTGGAGTGCAATGGCGTGATCTCGGCTCACCGCAACCTCCGCCTCCTGGGTTCAGGCAATTCTCCTACCTCAGCCTCCTGAGTAGCTGGGATTACAGGCACGCGCCACCATGCCCAGCTAATTTTTTGTATTTTTAGTAGAGACGGGGTTTCACCATGTTGACCAGGATGGTCTCGATCTCTTGACCTCGTGATCCACCCGCCTCGGCCTCCCAAAGTGCTGGGTTTACAGGCTTGAGCCACTGCGCCCGGCCGGCCCAGCTAATTTTTAAAGAAAATTTTTTTGTAGGGATGGGTCTTGTCATGTTGCTCAGGCTGGTCTCAAATTCCTGGCCTCAAGTAATCCTCTTGCCTTGGCCTTTCAAAGCACTAGGATTAGTGGCATTAACTACTGTACCCAGCTGAAAATTTTAAAATTTTAGAAATTTTAACTAATTTCAGACAAATCAGAGTATATTACCTCTTACTAACCCTAATTTAAAATATAGCCTTATTAGCAAACATAGTTTACCATTTTTTACCTATCAGATTGGCAAATTCTAAAAGTTTGACTATGAACTCTGTGATGAGGTTGTAGGGAAACACTTTCATCTTGCTGATAGAAATATTGATATAATACTTAAGGAGAATACTTTGAAAATAATAGGGCCGAGCGCAGTGGTTCACTCCTGTAATCCCAGCACTCTGGGAGGCTGAGGCAGGCAGATCACCTGAGGTCAGGAGTTTGAGACCCGCCTGACCAACATGGAGGAACCCTGTCTTTACTAAAAGTATAAAATTAGCCAGGCGTGGTGGCGCATGCCTGTAATCCCAGCTGCTTGGGAGGCAGAGGCAGGAGAACTGCTTGAACCCAAGAGGCAGAGGTTGCAGTGAGCCAAGATCAAGCCATTGCACCCCTGACTGGGTCAAAAAAAAAAAAAAAAAAAAAAAAAAAAGAAAAAAAAGAAAAAGAAAAAATTGCAAATTCATAATCCATATAGCTTTCACCTAGCAAATCCATTTTTGGAGAATCTAACCTACAAAATACTTGCATACATGTAAAAAAGAGCTAAATTCACGGTTATTCCATGAAGCATTATTTATAACAAAAGAATGGGACCAACCCAAACATCTATGATTGCTTAAAAAATCATGGTATATGCTCTATTGAACAATGTGTTTCATTAAAAAAAAAAAAAAAAAAAAAAAAAAAAGCCGGGCGTGGTGGCTCATGCCCGTAATCCAAGCACTTTGGAGGCCAAGGCGGGTGGATCACCTGAGGTCGGGAGTTCAAGACCAGCCTGACCAACACGGTGAAACCCCGTCTTAAAATTAAATAAATAAATAAAATCATGGTATATCCACACAATGCAGTATCACATAATCACAAAAGACAAGGAGGGGCCAGACATGGTGGCTCCCAGCACTTTGGGAGGCTGAGGCAGGTGGATCACCTGGGGTCAGGAGTTCAAGACCAACCTGGCCAACATGGTGAAACCCCATCTCTACTAAAAATACAAAAATGAGCTGGGCATGATGGCAGGTGCCTGTAATCTCAGCTACTTGGGAGGCTGAGGCAGGAGAATCTCTTGAACCGGGGAGGCGGAGGTTGCACTGACCTGAGATTACATCATTGACTCCAGCCTGGGTGACAGAGGAAGACTTCACCTCAAAAACAAACAAGCAAAAAAAACCAGGGAGGAAATTATATGGAAAGCTTGCCAAGTTATACTGCTGAGTGAAAAAACAGGTGTACTATATGTATCATGCCACCTTTTGGTTAAGAGAGAGAGAGAATATAATAATCTACACTTATATTTGCTTTGCACAAAGTCTTTGGAAGAATATTAAAAATCCATGAACAGTGGCTATTTATGGGATAGGATGGTGTTACTATCTGAATTGTGTATACCCCAGTCTCATATATTCAAGTCCTAACCAGGAGCTCAGAATGTGACCTTATTTTATTTATTTATTTTTTTTTGAGACGGAGTTTCACTCATGTTACCCAGGCTGGAGTGCAATGGCGCGATCTCGGCTCACCGCAACCTCTGCCTCCTGGGTTCAGGCAATTCTCCTGCCTCAGCCTCCTGAGTAGCTGGGATTACAGGCACGCGCCACCATGCCCAGCTAATTTTTTGTATTTTTAGTAGAGACGGGGTTTCACCGTGTTGACCAGGATGGTCTCGATCTCTTGACCTCGTGATCCACCCGCCTCGGCCTCCCAAAGTGCTGGGATTACAGGCTTGAGCCACCGCGCCCGGCGAATGTGACCTTATTTTAAAATAGGGTTGCTACAGCTGTAATTAATTAAGATGAGGTCACTAGGGTGGGCCCTAATCCTTGTACCTTATTATCCTTTCTGAATTTTGAACCCAGATTCACTGCTCATGCAGTATCTGGATTTTATTTAAAAAAATAAAATTAGGGGCCAGGTGCGGTGGCTCACGCCTGTAATCCCAGCACTTTGGGAGGCCAAGGCAGGTGGATCACAAGGTCAGGAGTTTGAGACCAGCCTGACCAACATGAAAAAACCCTGTCTCTACTAAAAATACCAAAAAAAAGGCCGGGCGCGGTGGCTCACGCCTGTAATCCCAGCACTTTGGGAGGCCGAGGCGGGTGGATCACAAGGTCAAGAGATCGAGACCATCCTGGTCAACATGGTGAAACCCCGTATCTACTAAAGCTGCAAAAAATTAGCTGGGCATGATGGCGTGTGCCTGTGATCCCAGCTGCTCAGAAGGCTGAGGCAGGAGAATTGCCTGAACCCAGGAGGCGGAGGTTGCGGTGAGCCGAGATCGCGCCATTGCACTCCAGCCCGGGTAACAAGAGCGAAACTCCGTCTCAAAAAAAAAAAAAAAAAAAAAAAAAAAAGTACAAAAATTAGGTGGGCGTGGTGGCCCGTGCCTATAATCCCAGCTACTCAGGAGGCTGAGGCAGGAGAACAGCTTGAACCTGGGAAGCAGAAGTTGCAGTGAGCAGAGATCGAGCCACTGTACTCCAGCCTGAGCAAAAGAGTGAGACTCTGTCTCAAAAAAATAAATAGAAAATTAAAATAATAAAATAAAATAAAATACAGTGACACAAGCCTGTAATCCCAGCACTGTGGGAGGCAGAAGCAGGCAGACCGCTTGAGCCCAGGAGGTCAAGACTAGCCTGGGCAACATGACAAAACCCCACCTCTACTAAAATTATAAAAAATTAGATGGGTGTGGTGGTGGACAGACACCTGTAGTCCCAACTACTTGGGAGGCTGAGGTGGGAGGATCTCTTGAGCCTGGGTGGCAGAGGCTGCAGTAAGCTAAGATCACACCACTGCACTCTAGCCTACACGGCAGAGTAAGACCCTGTCTCAAATAAAATTTTTAAAATTTGGTGAGAAAAAGATTTTTTAATTTAAAATTTGTCAAAATATTATCAAATGAATGGCAGTATAATTCAATAGAGACAGTATAATCCAAGAGACTCTTAATTTTAATAAATGAAAGGATAGATAAAATGTGAAAAATATATCCCTTCAGTAACAAAATCTAATTTATTTGCTTGTAAACAGCTGAAGGTTATACTAAATGACAGCTCTCTGTACAATGCAGCTATGAGTGCAAAGCAGCCACCCAGATGGAACTCTTCTAGCTTGTAGTTACTAGTGACTCACCATTGGTATCTGCTTTGACTTTCTCTTCCTTGATCTGCAAATTGGTCATCTGAATAGGGATACAAGAAAACAGAGTTAAGCAAATGACCCAATAAAAGGAAGGCCCCTAAGAGAAACTTCCTAGTAAAAGTCTAGTCTGAAACTTTCAGCACCAGTATTCAGGGAGTTGGTTTGTTCCCTCAAAGCAGAATTGCTGAAAGTCTGTGTGAAAACACCATTTCATGTATCTTCAACCGCCTTACAACAAGAGGGGTGGACTAAATATAATGGGGGAGTGGGGAAGTCTTAGAAAACCTCAACCTCTGCTTCTCCCCCAACTCAAGTTCTTTCTATTTATTTAATTTCTGAGACAAGGTCTCACTCTGTCAGCTAGGCTGGAGTGCAGTGGCACGATCATGGTTCACTGTAGCCTCAACCTCCTGGGTTCTAACAATCCTCCCACCTTAGGCTCCCTAGTAGCTGGGACCACAGGTGTGGACGACCATGCCTACTTACTCAAACTCCTGGGCTCAAGCAATCCTCCCATCTTGGCCTCCCAAAGCACTGGGATTACAGGTGCAAGCCACTGCACCAGCCTTCTGTCATTTTCATTAGTTACCTCTATACTAGAGAGCAGAGCCATGTAATAACCTAAGACCATGAATCATTTATTAAGTGAAGGTACACAAGTCTATGTGGTGGGAAAAAAAGGTCTTCTCCAACTATAAGGAAACATTTATTTACACCAGCGTTCTGACAAACTGAATGCTTAGAGCCAGATACCAAATATGTTTAGGCCTATATTCCTAATATTCATATTATAGCAAGGTTAGGGGCACAGATTTAACAAGGTTTGAAACCAGTTATCAGTAACTGTCTTTCAGAGATCTGATGCTGAACACTACATTTTAATCTCCAGAGTGCAAGGATCATGCCCTTGATAATGCTTTGTAATTTCTTTGTGGAAATTGCCAGTTTTCTACCTGACCTGCTCCTTCCCCTGAACTCCAGTGCCATCTTTCCAATTGCCTGATGAGTACCGTGCAGAAGAGAACACAGCAGGCCTGACCACTCTCCTTAGGAAAGCCTGCTTGCAAGGTTGGCCCTTGGCTGTCGCCTGGGAACTTGGACTTTGGGAGGGTTCCCACCATTCCTAGAACTGACAAGAGGGGGTCATTCTGCCTCAACTGTTTGTAAAAACATGTAATTTATGCTACACACCCGTGTTCCTTCTGGAAGTCTGGAATTCTGGTACATGCTAGGCCCAGGGTGACTTTATTACAGGCCCCCAATAAATGCCCCAAGTAGAGTCTCTAACAAGCTTCCCTGACACCACTTCATATGTGCTGTTACAATTTGCTACTGGAACAATTCAGCATACTCTGTGGACTCCATTGGGAGATAACTTGGAGCTTTGCCTAGTTTCCTCTGGACTTAGCCCATGAGCCTTTTTCTTCCACTAATTTTGCTTTGTATCTTTTCACCATAATAAATCATAGCTTTGAGTAAACTACATACCAAGTCCTGTGAGTTCTCCTAACAAAACAACCAACCTGGACGTCTCTTGGGGACTCCCGCCAACAGGTACTTATCAAGAAGTCTCCTTATCTTAAATTCAGAACAGCCAAACCTGAACTCAGCATTCCCTTTTTTTTTTTTTCTTTTTTTGAAACAGGTTCTCACTCTGTCGCCCATGTTGGAGTGCAGTGGTGTGATCACAGCTCACTGCAGCCTTGTCCTCCCTAGGCTCAGGTGATCCTCCCACCTCAGCCTCCTGAGTAGCTGGGACTACAGGAGTGCTCCACCACCACACCCAGCTAATTTTTTGTTGATTTTTGTAGAAATTGAGTTTCACCATGTTGCCCACACTGGTCTTCCCGGGTTCAAGTGATCTGCCTGCCTCAGTCTCCCAAAGTCCTAGGATTACAGGTGTGAGCCACCATGCCCGGCCTTCACCATTCTTCTTCTTCTTCTTTTTTTTTTTTGAGACAGAGTCTCGCTCAGTAGCCCAGGCTGGAGTGCAGTGGCATGATCTCGGCTCACTACAACCTCCACCTCCACCTCTACCTCCCAGGTTCAAGCAATTCTCATGCCTCAGCCTCCTGAATAGCTGGGATTAACAGGTGCTAACTACCACGCCCAGCTAATTTATGTATTTTTAGTAGAGACAGGGTTTCACCATGTTGGTCAGGCTGATCTCAAACTGTTGACCTCAAGTGATCTGCCTGCCTTGGCCTCCCAAAGTGCTAGGATCACAGGTGTGAGATACCATGCCCGCCGCCTTCATTCACCATTCTGTCAAATGTGCCCTTCCTTCCACTTTCCTATTCCCCTTATTGGGACAGTAGTAATATCAATAGAATCCAGGTTGAAAACAGAAACCTTTGGCTTTCTCTCCCTTCTCTCCTTTATTATGTTAGCAAGTCCTACCCCCCTCATATCTCTTATGTCCATCCCCTCATTTTTACTTCCACTGCCCAACACAGGCCCTCTATCTTGGGGCTATCAGAATAACTCCACACAGATATTTCTGTTAGCTATCACTTCTAACATACTCTGTTCTCTGTGGTTCAATAAATATTGCCAGCCCTAAGATCTAATCCTGTCAATGTCCATTTCAAAAATCTCCATACCGGCTGGGCGAGGTGGCTCACACCTGTAATCCCAGCACTTTGGGAGGAGGAGGCGGGCATATCACCTGAGGTCAGAAGTTCGAGACTAACCTGAGTAACATGGGGAAACCCCGTCTCTACTAAAAATACAAAATTAGCCGGCCATGGTGGCGCATGCCTGTAATCCCAGCTACTCGGGAGGCTAAGGTAGGAGAATCACTTGAACCCGGGAGGCCGAGGTTGAGGTGAGCCGAGATGGCACCGTTGCACTCCAGCCTGGGTAATAAGAGCGAAATTCTCTTACAAAAAAAAAAAAAAAAAAAAAAAAAAAGCCCATACTGGGCTCAGTGCAGTGGCTCATACCTGTAATCCCAGCACTTTGGGAGGCAGAGGTAGGCAGATCGCTGGAGCCCAGGAGTTAGAGACCAGTCTGGGCAACATAATGAGATCTCATCTCTTAAAAAGAGATTAAAAGGGCCAGGTGCGGTGGCTCACACCTGTAATCCCAGCACTTTGGGAGGCTGAGGCGGGTGGATCACCTGAGGTCAGGAGTCTGACCAATATGGTGAAGCCCCCTCTCTACTTAAAAAAAAAAGAAAAAAAATTAGCCGGTCGTGGTGGTGCGCGCCTTTAGTCCCAGCTACTCCGTAGGCTGAAACAGGAGAACCGCTTGAACCAGGCAGGTAGAAATTGCAGTGAGCCGAGATCGCGCCACTGCACTCCAGCCTGGGGACAGAGCGAGACTCTGTTTCAAAAAAGAAGAGTCACATAAGACTTGAGACTACTAAAAAACCAACAGTCCATTAACACTAAACAAACCAAAACTTTGGGTCTTAGATATAAGAACAAAAAAACCAGTGTACGCTGTAATTACATTCCAGTTAAATGAAAATTATTAAAGAACAAGTATATGAAACTGTCACTTTAAACATCAATGAAACAATGTGTAGTGCCTCCTTCCAACATCTGCAGTAGACCGAGCTATTAAATCTAAAAGCGAATCTGTTATTCTGCAAAGAGCAACAAACTGCCAACCACGTTAAGCATGGATCTAAGAAATGTTAAATACAGAGTAGCACAGAAACATGCAAAGAATAGTTGCTTAATGAAAAAGGGAATCCGCATCTAAACTTGGCTTTCCTTACAATCGTCTCTGAGAAGGAGGTCAACAGAGGAATGACAGCATACATAGTGGGGCGAATTTACCAAAGGATGAAGTCCCTAAGCAGCCCAGATGGGGATAAAAAGCTGGACATTACATTCGTTTATTCCCGCGAGCAAATCAAGGGCAAGTGCTCCAGCTAACTCCAGGAGCGCGTTGCCCAGAGGCCTGCCCAATCCGGGAAGCTCCTTGAGCTTTCAGCAGATTCCTCTTCGGCCCCTGCTACATCCTCCCCTCCTGGAGCTGAAGCCACTGACCGACTTTACAGCCGCTTCCTGTTCATCCACCGCCAGGGCCCACGAGTCGGTGGCCATAGTCCCGGACAACGGAGACCCACTTGTGAAAATATGAGCCGCACCGCGCCCCAACGCCGACCCTAAGCCCGCCACCAGAACGAGAAAGCACCCCACGCGGACCGGAAGCAGCGATGAGCACAGGTGTCGTCAGTTCCCACCCAGCGTGCAACGTCATCATTCTGCGCGGCGCTAGCCTCACCCCTCTCTTCGTACGCAAACTCCGCGCTTTTTGCTTACCCTTCCCCAAGGCACGTCCTAATTTCTTTTCTTCCTTTCTTCCTTCTTTCCTTCCTTCCTTCCTCTTTCTTTCTCCCTTTCTTTTTCTTTTCTTTCTCTTTCTTTCTTTTTCTGTCTTCTCTTTCTTTTTTTTTTTGAGAAGAGTTTCGGTCTTGTCACCCAGGCTGGAGTGCAATGGCGCGATCTCGGCCCACTGCAACCTCTAACTTCCTGGTTCAAGCGATTCTCCTGCCTCAGCCTTCCTAGTAGCTGGGATTATAGGCGCCCGCCACCATGCCTGGCTAATTTTGTATTTTTAGTAGAGACATGGTTTCACCATGTTGGTCAGGCTGGTCTCTTTTGAGACGGGATCTCATTCTGTCGCCCAGGCTGGAATGCAGTGGTGCCATCTCGGCTCACTGCGGCCTTGACCTCCCACCTCACCCTCCCAGGTAGGTGAGGGCCCAGAGGCTTGCACCACCATGTCCTGACCTCACGTAATCCACCTGCCTCGGCCTCCCAGATTGCTGGGATTTACAGGCCTGAGCCATTACGCCCGGCTCCTCGTTTCTTAAAATCCCTGAGCTCTACAAAGTAGAACTGTAATCCTCCGTTTATTGCCTTATTTCACACTGAAATAACCCAACATTTATTTTTAAGCCTGTCACATCTCATATTAAATGTGTAAGTCTGAACTGTAGGAGGACTTTAAACAAAGGAACGTTCCATAAGAATACTATATGACACCAGTTTCTACTGCTAGGAATGCGACCACAGGTAAGAAAACAAAACCAAAATGCAACAAAATGCCTTTAAACCCCATAATTCCACCACTCCAGTAAATACAACACACAATACGTTTTCTCTTTTTTCTTTTTTTTTGAGACAGGGTCTCATTCTGTCACCCAGTCTGGAATGCAGTGGTGCTATCTCGGCTCACGTGACCTCCTACCTCACCCTCCCAGGTAGCTGGGCCCACAGGCCTGCACCACCACGCCCGGCTAGTTTTTAAACTTGTTGCAGAGACGGGGTCTCACTGTATTGCTCAGGCTGCCCTTGAACTGCGCTCTATAGATCCTCCTGCCTTGGCTTCCCAAAGTGTTGGGATTACAGCGGTGAGCCACCACACCTGGCCATTATGTTGAAGGACTGCATAATTAAACACATAACTGTATAATCTATTTATATGAGGTTCAAGAATAGGAAAAGTGAAATCTATGCTGATAAAAATCCACGGAGCTTGCCTGTGGAGAAGGATGTTTGAGTGAGACATAAGGGAACTTCCTGGGTAATAGAATTATTCTGTATCTTGATTGGGGCCTGGTTAAATAGATAGTTAAGTCATGCTACTTTGTATTTCTAAACTGTGTTTATTTACTTTGAGACGGAGTCTCATTGTCACCCAGGCTGGAGTGCACTGGCGGGTCTTGGCTCACTGCAACCTCTGCCTCAGCCTCCTGAGTAGTTGGGATTACAGGCATGCACCACCAAGCCTGGCTAATGTTTTTTGTTTTTGTTTTTTGTTTGAGACAGAGTCCCTTTGTCTATTGTGAGGTGATGGGATCTTGGCTCACTGCAACCTCTGCTTCCTGGGTTCAAGCAATTCTCCTGCCTCAGCTGCCCAAGTAGCTGGGACTACAGACATGTACCACCATGCCTGCCTAATTTTTAATGTATTTTTAGTAGAAATGGGGTTTCTCCATGTTGACAAGACTGGTCTGGAACTCCTGACCTCAGGTGATCTGTCCGCCTCGGCCTTCCAAAGTGCTGGGATTATAGGCATGAGCCACTGCGCCCAGCCTAATGTTTGTATTTTTAGTAGAGACAGGGTTTCACCATATTGGCTAGGCTGGCCTTGAACTCCTGAACTCAAGGATCTGCCTGCCTGGGCCTCTCAAAGTGCTGGGATTACAGGTGTGAGCCACTGTGTCTGGCCTGCTTTTTCTTTTTTATAAGCAGTTCCCAAGGAAGAATAACTGTTTTTGTTTTTGTGACAGGGTCTTGCTGTTACCTAGGTTGGAATGCAGTGGCATGTTCACAGCTCACTGGAGCCTTGATCTCCCAGGCTCAAGCGCTCCTCCCACCTCTCAGAGTCCCAGCTCTCTGGTAGCTGGGACTATAGCAGTGCGCCACCACCCCTGGCTAATTTTTGTGTAAGAACTTGTGTATTTAAATTATCATTGTATATAAATGGTACCTCTCAATAATGTGATTAAAAATTAAAACAGCCGGGCGCGGTGGCTCAAGCCTGTAATCCCAGCACTTTGGGAGGCCGAGGCGGGTGGATCACGAGGTCAAGAGATCGAGACCATCCTGGTCAACATGGTGAAACCCCATCTCTACCAAAAATACAAAAAATTAGCTGGGCATGGTGGTTCGTGCCTGTAATCCCAGCTACTCAGGAGGCTGAGGCAGGAGAATTGCCTGAACCCAGGAGGCGGAGGTTGCGGTGAGCCGAGATCGCCCCCTTGCCCCCCAGCCCGGGGAAAAAAAGAGAAACCCCCCCCCCAAAAAAAAAAAAAAAAAAAAAAAATTAAAACAAAGGGCTGGGCGTGGTGGCTCACGCCTATCATCCTGGTACTTTGGGAGGCCTAAGCAGGTGGATAACCTGAGGTCAGGAGTTCGAGACCAGCCTGGCCAACATGGTGAAACCTCGTCTCTACTAAAAATACAAAAATTAGCCGGGCGTGGTGGGGTCGCCTGTAATCCCAGCTACTCGAGAGGCTGAGCTGGAGAATCGCTTGAACCCAGTAGGTGGAGGTTGTAGTGAGCCAAGATTGCACCAGTGCACTCCACCCTGAGCGTCAGAGCAAGACTCTGTCTAAATAAATAAATAAATAAAATGAAATACATGCAATAACATGGATGAGAGATTTGACATCTCGTCGATTCTCAGCCTTTTGGCTAAGATCAAGTGGAGAGATTTGACATCTCATAGACATTATATTCTGTGCGTGAGAGAACCCGGGTACAGAAAGTATATATTGCATGATTCCATTCATAGAAGCCCAAAACAGGTGTATCTAATCTATAGAGATAGAAATCAGAACAGTGGTTGCCTGGGGGTGAGCTAGGGTGAGTAGGATTGACTGGAAAAGGGGTACAAGGGAACTTCAGGGGTGATGAAAATGCTGTATATATATATATATATATTTTTTTTTTTTTTTTTTTTTTTTTTTGAGATGGAGTCTTGCTGTGTTGTCAAGGCTGGAGTGCAGTGGTGCAATCTTGGCTCACTGCGACCTTCACTTCCTGGATTCAAGTGATTCTCCTGTCTCAGCCTCCTGAGTAGCTGAGACTACAGGCGCCCATCACCATGCCTGGCTAATTTTTTGCATTTTTAATAGAGACGGGGTTTCATCACGTTGGCCAGACTGGTCTCAAACACCTGACCTCAAGTGATCCGCCCACCTCAGCCTCCCAAAGTGCTGGGATTACAGGTGTCACTGTGCCAGGCTGAAAATGCGCTATATCTTAATTGAAGCAGTGATTACAGGTGTTTACAATTGTCAAAACTCATTAAATTTTATAGCCACTGTCTTTGCTTGCACTCTATGTTTAGGTAATAAATAGACACAGCAATGTAATGAAAAAATGTAACAAAAAATACAAGTAGTAATAAATTTATTTGTATAGTTAAAAGAAAAAGGAGGATGTGAGGATTTTTTTGTTGTTGCTCTGTCACTCAGGCTGGAGTGCAGTGGCACAAACACAGCTCACTGCAGCCTCAAACTCCTAGGCTCAAGCGATCCTCCCATCTTGGCCTCCCAAAGTACTGGGATTACTGAGCCCGGCCCACTTCTGTTTTTGTTTGTTTGCTTTTGTTATAGAGACAAGGCCTTGCCCTGTTACCCAAGCTGGAGTACAGTGATGTGATCGTAGCTCACTGTAACTTCAAACTCCTGGCCTCAAGCAATCCTCCTGCCTCAGCCTCCCAAAAGTACTGGGATTACAGGTGTGAGCTACCACACCTAGTCCTAAACATGTTAACAGGACAGATTTCTCTGCAGTATCTCCCTGCTACCAGCTAGGAATTCAGCGGTGATTAAGTTAGATATACTCCCTGCTCTTACTGGACTTAAATATTTAAGTGAGGACAGATGCTTAACCAGGAGTCCCAAAAGCAGCATAAGGCAAATACAGCCTTGTGGTTAAGAGTTGGGCCCTGGAGCCAGACTGTCTGGGCCCACTTACAAGATCTCTCTGTGCCTGCTTCCTCATCTGTAAAGTAGGAATCACAACACCTTTGTTGTAAGGAGCGAATGAGAGAAGCTATGTAGACCTTCAGAGGTTGCCTAAGATAATGCTGATTCAGGAAGTACAGGGCACCATGGGAGATTATGATGGAGGAACTGGCCTGGCATGGTGGCTCACGCCTCCTGAGTAACTGGGATTACAGGCATGCACCACCAAATCTGGCTAATTTTTTATTTTAGTAGAGACGGGGTTTCTCCATGTTGGTCAGGCTGGTCTCGAACTCCCAACCTCAGGTGATCTGTCCACCTCAGCCTTCCAAAGTGCTGGGATTACAGGCATGAGCCACCATGCCTGGGTAATTTTTTATTTTTATTTTTATTTATTTATTTTTTTTGGTGATAGAGTCTCACTCTGTTGCCAGGCTGGAGTGCAGCGGTGCGATCTCGACTCACTGCAGCCTCCGCCTCCAAGGTTCCAAGTGATTCTCCTGCCTCAGCCTCCCGAGTAACTGACTACAGGCGCATGCCATTACGCCCAGCTAATTTTTGTATTTTTATTAAAGATGAGGTTTCACCATATTGGCCAGGATGGTCTCGATCTCTTGACCTCATGATCTGCCCACCTTGGCCTCCCAAAGTGCTGGGATTACAGGCATGAGCCACTGCACTTGGCCAATTTTTAATTTTTTTTTGTAGCGATGAGGTCTTTCTATGTTGCTCAGGGTGGTGTCAAACTCCTGGGCTCCTCCTGCCTTGGCCTCCCAAAGTTGCTGAGATTAGGTGTGAGTAACCTTGCCCAGCTGAGAAATTTAGATAACAAGGATGCATCTCTCATTGGAACAGGAGGGAGAGGGAAGGACCAGTGTTCGTGGAAGAAGTTCTAGTGGTGGAACGGTGAGGGAGTTTCTAAATGTTAGCCATTTTCTTGGAATGAGAAGCTCATTTGCTGACACCTGAGGGGGACGATAGGGTTGGAATTATGAGGTGAGTGAAAGTCTCGAAATAGTCAGTGAAGTGTGGGGAGTTAACCAGAACGGTCCATGAGAGTAGAGGTTACTGCAGCTTTTTCTGAGGTTGTCCCTTCCATTGATGTTAAATACCAAGTCAGAGCTTTTCAAAGGCGGGGAAAGTTAAAAAAAAAAAAATCAGATGAATGGAGTATTTAATTTGTTCCTCTGATATAATCCTACTTGCTGTAGAAATGAACAAAGCTGGCCAGGCGCAGTGTCTCATGCCGGTAATCTCCACATTTTGGGAGGCTGAGGTGGGTGGATCGCTTGAGACTAGGAGTTTGAGACCAGCCTGACCAACGTGGTGAAACTCTGTCTCTACTAAAAATACAAAAATTAGCCGGTGTGGTGGTTCACGCCTGTAATTACAGTACCTTGGAGGCCAAGGCAGGTGGATCACCTGAGGTCAGGAGTTAAAGATCTTGGCCAACATGGTAAAACCCCATCTCTACTAAAAATCCAAAAGTTAGCCAGGCATGGTGGCACTTGTCCCAGCAACTCAGGAGGCTGAGGCACAAGAATCTCTTGAGCCCAGGAGGCAGAGGTTGCAGAGAGCTGAGATGGCACCACTGCAACAGAGCAAGACTGTCTCAAAAAAAAAAAAAAAATTCAAAGTGCTTGACACCAAACTTGAGAAATTGCAAAAAGATCTCTAATGCATGCATTCTAGATCCATGTGGGATGTCCTGCTTATTGGAAAGACACATTTCACTTGGGCCCCTGATGCTTCCAATCTACCACCAGCTGTTACTGTGGCTTCAGCTTCTTCTACATGTATTTCTTCTGACCTGAACAAGGATGGAGTGACTGGTGACTATGATAGTATAACATAAATATTGATAAGTTCTGTGTGTGAAAAATTACACAAACCCACCTCATGGTGAATTCCTTGCATTTACAGTCTTCACTGGAAAGCTGTGATTTACAGCATTACTGTGAAAACTGCTGAGCCAAGCATTTCAGTCCAACACTGGGACAGTGATCTACATATCAACAGAATGCTCCCTTGACTTTACAGAGCATTTAGAGTGAATTTTGTCTAAGATCAAAGATAACTTACACACCTAAATATGTTTACTTATTAGATTTCAGAAAACTTTAACCAGTATGACCGTGAGCACCTCCACCATGCCAGTACGGAATGATTGCAGAGCTCAGCCACAGGCAATCCCAATGCACAGAATGCTAAACTTGACATTAGTCCTTTTCCTTGTTAAAACAAACAAAAAAATCCCAAATACCAGAAGCAAAAACATGCTGCTGTTTCTCCTACCTTCTTTTTTAGGAGATGGGGTCTTGCTCTGTTGCCCAGGCTGGAGTGCACTGGCATGGATCACATCTCAGTGCAGCCTCAGCCTCCCAGGCTCTGGTGATCCTCCCACCTCAGCCTCCTGGGTAGCTACGACTACAGGCATGAGCCATCATACTTGGCTAACTTTAAAAATTTTTTTTATTTTATATTTTGATTTTTGAAATCCTTGCTTAAAAAAAAATTTATTTTTTACAGACGGAGTCTTACTATGTTGCCCAGGCTGGTCTCAGACCCTTGGACTCAAGCAGTCCATCTGCCTTGGCCTCTCAAAGTGCTGGGATCACAGGAGTGAGCCACTGAGCCTGGCTTAATTTTCTTTTTTAAACTTTTCAAGACACAAGATCTTGCTATTTGCCCTGAATGGTCTCAAATTCCTGGCCTCCAGTGATCCTCCTGTCTCACCCTCCCAAGTAGCTGGGATTACAGCTGTGACATTCTGTACCCAGATGTTTCGGTTTTTTTTTTTTTTTTTTTTTTGAGACAGAGTTTTGCTATTGTTGCTCAGGCTGGAGTGTGATGGAGTGATCTTGGCTCACCACAACCTCTGCTTCCCGGGTTCAAGCAGTTTTCCTGGATCAGCCTCCCTAGTAGGTGGGATTACAGGCGCCCACGACCATGCCAAGCTAACTTTTTACATTTTTAGTGGAGATGGGGTTTCACTATGTTGGCCAGGCTGGTTTTGATCTCCTGGCCTCAGGTGATCCACCCACCTCAGCCTCCCAAAGTGCTGGGATTACAGGTGTGAGCCACCACGCCTGGCTCCTTCTTATACTTATTAATGATTTCTTGGTAATATGAAAACTTCATAATTAAGTTCCATTAATGTGAAAAATACATCAACAGTTAGTTCTTATGCATATAGCCAATGAATGCCACTCAAGAAAAATAATAAAATGGTTTATAGGTAATGAATATATCCAGAATTTTCCATGGGGCCAAAAATTCCTTTTCCCAAGTTTCTCTGTTCTAGAGCAGTTTTCTTTTTCTTTTTTCTTTTTTTGTTTTCCAGATGGAGTCTTACTCTGTTGTCCAGGCTGGAGTGTGCAGTGGCGCAATTTCGGCTCACTGCAACCTCTGCCTCCCGGGTTCAAGCAATTCTGCTTTAGCCTCCTGAGTAGCTGGAATTACAGGCATGCACTACCAGATCCCGCTGGTTTTTATGTTTCTAGTAGAGAAGGGGTTTTACCATGTTGGCCAGGCTGGTCTCAAACTCCTGACCTCAGGTGATCCACCCACCTCAGCTTCCCAAAGTTCTAGGATTATAAGCGTGAGCCACCACACCCACTCTTTTTTTTTTTTTTTTTTGAGTCAGGGTCTTGATCTATTACCCAGGCTGGAGTGTAGTGGCACAATCATAACTCACTGCAGCCTTGAACTGCTGGGCTCAGGCAATCCTCCTGCCCCAGCCTCCCTAGTAGCTAGGACTACAGGCATGTATTACCATGCCTGGCTTTTTTTAAAAAAATTATTTTGTGGAGACAGGTCTCCTTTGTTACCTAGGCTGGTCTTGAACTCATAGGCTCAAGCAGTCCTCCCTTCTCAGCCTTCCAAAATGCTGGGATTACAGGCATGAGTCAACCTGGCCAGCTATCATATCATATACAGGTACTTAATACACAGTAGAAGAATCTCTGGAGACCAAAGCTAAGCAAGCTCAATGCAGATTTACATCACTGTTGGCTCTAGGCTACACAAGGTCCCAGAGGCAGCTATGGCCCTGGGAGCTAGGTAAATGGAATGGAATGGAAGGAATAAGGAAGAAATACGAGCTGTAGTAGCACTGGGGTAACACTCCAGAACCATCCACAACAGTGGGACTTACCTTTTTAAAAGACATATACTGTTTGTGAGTCTCCTCAGGAAAATACATCTAAACTCAAACTACTGCATATATAATTCATAGACTCCATGAAACACAGTCAGTGAATTCTTAGAGGTCCAAAACCCCTAATTAAGAACTGTTGGCTAGGCACGGTGGCTCATGCCTGTAATCCTAGCACTTTGGGAAGCTGAGGCTGGTGGATCACTTGAGGTCAGGAGTTCAAGACCAGCCTGGCCAACATAGTAGAAACCCTGTGTCCACTAAAAATACAAGAAATTGCCGGGCGCGGTGGCTCACGCCTGTAATCCTAGCACTTTGGGAGGCCAAGGTGGGTGGATCGCCTGAGGTCAGGAGTTCAAGACCAGCCTAGCCATCATGGTGAAACCCCATCTTTAAAAAAAAAAGAAAAAACAAAAAATACAAGAAATTAGGTGGGCGTGGTGGTGGGCACCTGTAGTCCTAGGTACTTGGGAGTCTGAGGCAGAAGAATCACTTGAACTTAGGAGGCGGAGGTTGCAGTGAGTAGAGATTGCAACACGGCACTCCAGCCTGGGCAATAGTGAGACTCTGTCTCCAAAAAAAGGAACTGTTGACCTATACTTCTACCAGACTCCCATTCCTTCTGCTGTCAAAGAGTCTACAGCACCCCCATTCCCAATTTCCTTCTCAGACTTGGGGCTACACCAGTAGAGAGGTTGTATGTGCTGTGAGAAGAAGGTGCAGGTCTGGTCTGCCTGTGGCCTACTGAAGAGTCTTATACTTCTTTAATTATTGCCCTTGGTTTTAGTTATTTCAGGGTTGGTCCACAGGACTCAGGGAAGGAGAAAAAACTATAAAAATTTCTTTTCTCTTTACAAGAATTCCAAGATGTGTCAGAGTTAACCAGAAGCATAGAGAAGACTTTACATAGTCAAGTATCCACCCTAGGAATGTGGTAGAATTGGCAGTCTGTTGGTCTCTTTGGATTGTCAGATTAAAGAAACCACCTGGAGGCTGACACTGGCCCCTTCCCTTCCCAGGAGACAGATCTGACCTAAATACAGAGATGCCTACAAGGAAGACCTAGGATTGCAATAGTTCTTGGCATATAAAACTCTTCTTTCAGGTCTTAGAGTAAGTGGCCACTCTGTACCAAAGCCAAAGAACTGAAGAGTACTCCTCTTGGCTGGGGTTTCATATTGCTCTTGCAAAATTCAGTTTCCTCTCATCTTTTCTGTCATTCTATGGGTACCAACAGCCTTGGCCAGGTGTGAGTAGTGTCCATTACTACTGTTTGCTCTATCTTGCACAAAGCTGTCAAGTAAGGCTGAAGCAAAGGCCTTGGTGATACTCTTGCCTTAGGCAGATAAATGGCAGCAGTGCAGCTAGTCCCTCTGCACCCATTTGTATTCCAAAGGTAGTAAACACAGCTGTTCAGAAGCCCTTTATAATAAAGACGTCAAATATCTGAAATCACTTCGCAGCTCTGACAAAACTTGCCTTCTGGGTATGGAGACAAAGCAAGAATTTGTGACGACTGCTGACCACGTCTAGAACTGCCTTGAAGCTGGCCATTAGAGACTTGAAACCACAATTTTCACTAAATCTCAGATCACATTTGCTTGGGGCTACTATGGAGTAAGATGATATTAAGGACACAAAAAGGATGTTGCAAATGCTCATTAGATCAGGTTTTGTGGCAAGCTGGGGCCACCAGTAATTCTCCACGATGACTTCTCCGCAGGACTTGCTTACGCACAAGCACAGGACCCACCACTAATCAGATGCGCACTCTACACAGACTGTACCCACCAAGAATAGGCCACAGTCCTGTGGCACAAACCCATATACAAAGGTCTGAGAGGTTGGCATTTTGGTCCATGCTTATTTAACAAATCCCCTTCTGCTGTGGACATTAGGATGGGGGCCTGGCAATACTCAGGTGAGCTGTCTCATCCCTGGTCCAAAGCAGCAGCTCTCAGGCCTCCTCTGCTGCCTCATGCCATTCCAGACATGATGGCTGGGCTTACACACCTATTCTATTGGAGGCCTGTCTCTCTGTGTTCCCTTTTCACTGCTATTCCCTGACTTCCACAGGAGCTGAAGCCTGGCCCACCCACTCCAAACCAGAGAACAAGCACAGGCTGCCACAGGAGATCCTGGGTAAGAAATCAGCTGCAGCATCTAGAGTAGCATGAAGGAAGCACTGGCCAAATTAAAAGATGAAACTTCCAAAAGGTAAATCTCTATGTATTCATGCCTAATTTTCCAATATTGTGTAAATAATTTTTTCTACCATCCCCCATCATTTGTACACATTTTTGTGAAGTCCAAACATAATTTGAAGTGAGGTAGGTAGTTTATCTCTCTTCGTGCCGCTGTCCTTGGGGTGATGTTGGGGCCTGTGCCCGGAACGCACTGTGCTGGGGCAGTGCCAGGGCTGGCACCAGTGGCTGGTGGAACTTCTCAGTTGGCTATTTTCTCGATCTCATCCAAATCATCTGTGTCCAATCTTTCTATCTTCTTATCTGGGGGAAAAATACAGAGGTCTCTACCCTGCCCTGAGAATGTGCCCTACTTTAGGCCACAGCAATCATTCATTCAGCCCCGAAGGCTACTGCCTGAGCAGGGAGCAGTAGGGCTCCTAGTTACTGACAGCAACACTCAGAGCCCCAGGTTCCCAAGCCTACTCATAGGAGAACTGTCCTTGGGGTCCCTGGGTCCTGAAGTCTCCAGGTGTGCTCCCTGAGAACTTCCATACGGTCAGAAAGGAAGTGGGGGTGCCAGGGACAAAGGCTGTGTCCGAGCTACAGAAGATTCTACCCCTTTCCCCACCCTGCCCCACTAGGAAAGTGTGCCAGGCACAGGACCCTCCCCGGGACTCACTAAAATGCTCCTGGATTCTGTTCAGAATGTTCATGCTGTGCTTGCTGTCCACCATGTTCACTGCCAGGCCCCTCTTGCCAAAGCGGCCCGTGCGCCCTATCCGGTGTAGGTATGTCTCGTTGTCAGGGTTCCCATCCTTGTCCACGGGAAGATCAAAGTTGATAACGACGGACACTTGTTCAACGTCGATCCCTGCAGGAAGCAGAGTTGGAGGCTGAGAGGACTAAGGACAGGACACAAATCAGTTGTGTGGTCCATCCATACAATGGAATATGACTCATTATTAACAGACCGCAGGACTAACAGACGCATGTTGTTGAGGAAGCCCGATCTGAAAGTTCGGGCTCTATGAGATTTAGATGATGCCCAAAAAAGGCAAAACTACAGGCACAGAAACCAAACTAGCAGGGACCAGGAACTGGGGTACAGGGAGAGGTGATGAGTCCCTGAGAGTTGGAGAGAAGTAAGGACAGGAGACAAAAATCACTGTTGTCCACAGGTAAGTCAATGCATACCAACTTTGAGTAGAGGGAAAGAATTTAGGGGCTGCGTGCAGTGGCTCACACCTGTAATCCCAGCTTTTTGGGAGACCAAGGCAGGCGGATCACCTGAGGTCAGGAGTGCAAGACCAGCCTGGCCAACACTGCAAAACTCCATCTCTACTAAAAATACAAAAATCAGCCAGGCGTGGTGGTGGGCACCTGTAATCCCAGGCTGAGGCAGAAGAATCGCTTGAACCCGGGAGGTGAAGGTCGCATTGAGCTGAGATTGTGCCACTGCACTCCAGTCTGGGTGACAGAGCAAGACTTGGTCTCAAAAAAAAAAAATTGGGACAGGCCAACTCTGGGAATTGGGTACAAGAGAGGGCACATACAGGCAGGGAGCAGAACCTGGAGGAAAAGAATAGACCTTTGACAGGTGCCAACGAAATTATGAAATCCGTCAGTAAGCATCTGGGAGACACAATGTTCTGGAGATGGGCACCCCTGGAAGAGCAGGCTCCGTTCTCTACCAGTCAGATGCCTGTACATTTCCTTCCACCAAGTCAGGACACCTGGCTTCTGTGGGAGTTCTTTGCACCTGAGGGAAATCCAAACACTCTTTCCTAGAAAGGAATATCGTCACCAACCCCACCTATCTCTCTGAGACTAGCAGACTTTCCTGTATGCAAGGATTTCTGGCTCTAACTGGGCCTGGGACCCCGAGCCTGGCAGACCAGGTGGGACACATCCTCTGCTCACCGCGGGCACACACGTTGGTGGTCACCAGAACCTTCTCTTTGCCCTCCCGGAAGCGCTCAATCACCGCAGCCCTCTGCTCCACCATCATCTCCCCACTCAGCAGAGCCACCTGGTGGCCTTCTTTTGAGAGCTCTGCTGCCAGCCAGCTAGCTGTTTTGCGAGTCTGGAGGAAAAAAACAATTGAGAGATAAAAGTATTTGAGTATATTCTTTTTACTTTTTGAGACAGGGTAATCTTAAAACTCCTAGGCTCAAGCCATTGTCCTGCCTTGGCTTCCCAAAGTGCTGGGAGTACAGGTATGAGCCACCGCAGTCAGCTGAAGGTATTTTTTATCTGGAAGGCTATACCTGAAACTTAGCAGCTAAAGGCTACATTTCTTAAAATTATAAACCAGATATAGTGCAACAGGAAGTAACAATGTCACCTGGGTTGTAATCTTACAAAAGTATTTGTAGAGGCTGGGCGTGGTGGCTCACACCTGTAATCCTAGCACTTTGGGAGGCTAAGGTACATGGATCACTTGAAGTCAGGAGTTCAAGACCAGCCTGGGCAACATGGTGAAACCCTGTCTCTGCTAGGCGTGGTGGGGAGCCTGTAAGTCCCAGCTACTTGTGGGGGCTGAGGCAAGAGGATAGCTTGAACCTGGGAGGTGAGGCTGCAGCGAGCCAAGACTGCACCAAGGCACTCCAGCTGGGGCGACAGAGTGAGACCCTGTCTCAAAAAAAAAAAAAAAAAAAAAAATTTATACCACAAAATATTTAACCTAGGGCACAAATATGAGTTGATTTTCTTGGTTTTGCAATAATATATTATCCACAAATAAGACATAAAGTTCAGGGCCTCTGTGTTTAGGCTATGTATACCTTGGGATAGTACAATTAGCCACTAAAGGAGAACCTGTGTCTTAAATCTTCACCAACCACTTCTCTTCCCATGGCACCCAGGGACATCCAGTCCTCCTGAGCCCTGCTTGGAGCTGGCTGAGAGGGAGGGGCCAGGCCTGCTGCTGCTACTCACATGGCAGAAGATCATGGCTTGAGCAATGGTGATGGCCCCGTAGAGGTTACACAGGGCCTGGAACTTCTCGTCTCTGCTGCTGCACAGGACATAGTACTGTTTGATGGTGTCCAGGGTCTCTTCCTCACGCTTCAGTTTGATAACGTTTGGGTCTGGGACCACTTTCTGGGCAAACTTCCACACAGAGTCTTCAAAGGTGGCGGAGAAAAGCAGCATCTGGCAGTTCCTGGGCAGCATCCTGCAAGGGAAGGCCCTGGCATGTGGCCCCAGGTGTGCCCGGGAAGCAACAGAAGCACAGCCTCCCCAGCTGGGAGGGTCTAGGTGCCCAGGAAGGCTGACGGGGGAGAAGCATCTCGGGGAGGAGGAGCAGCAGGCCTGGGTTGAGGGTAGGGGTGGGGAAGAGTCCCTAGATCTCCTTTCTCAACCCAGGATTGGAGGGACTGTGGTCGGTGCTGACATGGAAATGGCCCGTCAAACAAATGCTGCTGAGAATGCCAGAGCCAAGACCCAGCAGAAGCCAGAGGAGGCGTCTGAAGTAAAGGGAGAAGACGCTGCCGAAGAGGAGGCTGAGAAGTCCTCTGCCCTCGAGATCCCTACCTCTGGATGCGGATGCTCTGATCCTGGTGGCCCTGAGTGGCTATCATGACGTCAGCCTCATCCAGAACAAACACCTTGATTTTCTTGGGATCAATGAACTTGAGCTTGGAGCACCAGTCCAGCACGGTCCCAGGGGTGCCAATGACAATCTGCTCACTGATCTTCTGGCCTCTTTCCACTGTGGAGACCCAGGTGACTTTCATGGGTATTTCAAAGGCAAAGCCCGCTCTGGAAATCAAAGCTCTGCCCATCCTTCTAGGACTAGGAGAACAAGTTATTTCCAGATGTCAAAACACACATGAGTGTTCCCTTCAGCCTTGGTTTCTTCTGCTGTGAAGTGGCCAGATGCCACCTATCTCAGTGCACTGTGTTCAGGATCAAATCCCACACAGCAAACCTTGAATAAGCATCAGTTCCCTTCTGCTTCCTCCTATCATTCAACATCATCCAACTCTTTATGTTTGTTTATTTATTTATTTAGAGACAGGGTGTCACTCTGTTGCCCAGACTAGAGTGCAGAGACACAGTCATGGCTCACTGCAGCTGTATCAAACATCTCATGTACCCCATAAACATACACACCTACTATGTACCCACAAAAGTTCAAAAATTAGAAAAAAAATTCTGAAAAGGCATAGATAGTAAGGATATAAACAATTAGAAGATGAAACTTCTTCAGTGACATTGTTCTCCTCTATAATCATACAATTCTCTCTGAAGTACCCGATTTTTTTTTATTTTTTTAAATTTTTTAAGACAGGGTTTCACCATGTTGGTCAGGCTGGTCTTGAACTACCAACCTCAGGTGATCCGCCCGCCTTGGCCTCCAAAGTGCTTGGCTTACAGGTGTAAGCCACCATGCCTGGTCTCCTGATCTTTAATGTTATTATTTTTTTTGCCAACAATGTTCTACCTAGACTAGGACACTTCCTCTTAGGCAGACTCTTTCACAGTTCTTATCTTTCTAATACACTCTGCCCCCTCAGCTATCCTGTCATCTATTTCAAATATGTCAGTTGCTTTTACGTTGTGGTGCAAGGCGTGGTGGTGCACGCCTGTAATCCCAGCTACTCAGGAAAGTGAGACGCAAGAATCACTTGAGCCCAGGAGGCAGAGGTTGCAGTGAGCCAGGACTGCATTGCTGCACTTCAGCCTGGGCAATGAGGGAAACTCTGTTTATCTGCCCTTTTAACTTAAATCCAAATTGGAAAATTTTAAATGATTATTTTCCAATAAGTTTCATTATGTAATTTACTTTGCAAGTAAAGTTGGCTTCAAGTTGGCATTAGGACATTGTATGTAGACTTGATTTCTGCAAGTCATAAAGTCACATTTATTTCAGAGATTCATAAAATGCAACCAAACCTCTAGCAACACTTTTTTTTTTTCTTGAGACAGAGTCTTACTCTGTCACCCAGACTGGAGTGCAGTGGTGTGATCCTGCTTCACTGTAACCCCCTCACAGGTTAAAGCGATTCTCCTGCCTCAGCCTCCTGAGTAGCTGGGATTATACGTGTGTGCCACCGTGCCTGGCTAATTTTTTGGTATTTTTAGTAGAGACAGGGTTTTTCCATGTTGGTCAGGCGTGTCTCAAACTCCTGACCTTCAAATGAGCCACTTGGCTCGGCCTCCCAAAGTTCTGAGACTACAGGTGTGAGCCACCATGCCTGGGCAACAACACTTTTAAAATTACTTAAATAATATTAGTTGTAGGCCGGGCGCGGTGGCTCAAGCCTGTAATCCCAGCACTTTGGGAGGCCGAGGCGGGTGGATCACGAGGTCAAGAGATCGAGACCATCCTGGTCAACATGGTGAAACCCCGTCTCTACTAAAAATACAAAAAAAATTAGCTGGGCATGGTGGTGTAATCCCAGCTACTCAGGAGGCTGAGGCAGGAGAATTGCCTGAACCCAGGAGGCGGTGGTTGCGGTGAGCCGAGATCGCGCCATTGCACTCCAGCCTGGGTAACATGAGTGAAACTCTGTCTCAAAAAAAAAAAATAATAATAATAATAATAATATTAGTTGTAAAACAAACTAGTGTAGAAAAAAAAAATTTTTTTTAAGAGACAGAGTTTCACTGTGTTGGCCAGGATGGTCTCCATCTCCTGACCATGTGATCCACCCGTCTTGACCTCCCAAAGTGCTGGGATTACAGGCGTTAGCCACCGCACCTGCCCTACAAAAGAATATTTTTAGAAAATTAGCTGGTTGCAGCCGGGCACAGAGGCTCATGCCTGTAATCCTAGTACTTTGGGAAGCCAAGATGGGCTGATCACGTGAGGTTAGGAGTTCAAGACCAGCCTGGCCAACATGGCAAAACCCTGTCTCTACTAAAAATACAAAAATTAGCCAGGCATGGTGGTGGTGTCTATAATCCCAGCTACCTGGGAGGCTGAGGCAGGAGAACTGCTTGAACCCGAGAGATGGAGGCTGCAGTGAGCCAAGATTACACCACTGTACTCCAGCCTGGGCTACAGAGGGAGACTCTATCTAAAAATAAATAAATAAATAAATAAAATTAAAACAAATTAATTAAAAAACATTGGGTGCAGTGATGTCCACCTGTCATCCTAGCTATTAGGGAGGCCCACGTGAGAGAATTGCTTGAGACCAGGAGTTTTAGGCTTCACTGAGGTATGATTGCACAACACTGCACTCCAGCCTGGGCAACAGAGCAAGACCCTGTTTCTAAAATAAATAAAAATAAACACATCTAGAATGCAGACTCTTTGAAAAGCAACTGGTCTGGTCTTGCAAAACGTTAAATGTAATAGGGAGAGAAAAAGGTAGGAGGACAATTCTAGCTAAATCGAAAGAAACAAAGTACAACAACCAAGTGCAATGTCTAAACACTGAACGCTGACTTGATCTTGGTTCAGAAACCAAACGGCCATAAAGGAACACTTTGGGGACAGCTGGGGAGGAATAAAAATTGACTGGATATTAGTTATTCTAGGAAATCAATTTTCCTGGTTGTGATAAGGGTATCCACAGGAATGCCAAAGAATGTCTCATGAGATGCATATCTGCAGTTTACTTACAAATGGTTTGACAAAAATATATACATGTGTATATATAAAGCAAATATGGCAAAATGTTAGGTTTTTGAATCTAGGTGGAGAAAATACATGTGTGTATTGTATTATTTTAGCTATTGGGTATGTTTTAAAACATTTCAAAATAAAAAGAATTAGGTTAATGATCTAGGATCACATTCACATACTCACATTTATTGCCTCGAACAGCATAAGCTAACTTCAGTGCAGGGTAAAATTTGCCCATTTGTTCAATCACTTTTCCTGTTTGGAGGGCGAGCTCGTATGTTGGGGAGAGGCATAGACACTGGCAGGGAAAGAATGCAGAGTGCAAATTCAAGACAATAGCTCTTTTGCAAAGGGGAATTACCAGTAGGACTCAGCCACTCCTCCAGCTGAAGCTGAAGGAAAGAATATGTACATTAAAGTGTATACCATTTGATTCTTTGTTTTTTTGTTTGTTTCTTGAGACAGGGTCTCACTATGTTGCCCAGGCTGGAGTGCAGTGGCTGTTCACAGGCGTGATCCCACTATTGATCAGCACAGGAGTTTTGACCTGCTCTGTTTCCGACCTGGGCTGGTTCACCCCTCCTTAGGCAACCTGGTGGTCCCCCGCTCCCAGAAGGTCACCATACTGACGCCAAACTTAGTGCGGACACCCGATTGGCATAGTACACTACAGCCCAGAACTCCTGGGCTCAAATGATCTGCCCACCCAGCCTCCCTAGTAGCTGGCACAACAGGCACATGCCACTGCACCTGGCCACCATTTGATTCTTTAAGCTACAAAGTCATAGCTAGAATTCTTAGGGGTCAGAACTCTGGCTGGGTAAAGACACGTGAAAACAGATACCAGCCACTGAAATACAAAAACCCACCCACAAGCAAGGATCTAAAGTTCCAATTGGCATTAGCTTTCTTTTCACTTACTCAGAAAGCTCTCAGAACTTTCTAATGGATGACAGTTGCAGATGAAACAGGTTTTCCTGCAACTAAAGGAGCCAAGCCTGTATGAAGTATCCCAGAACTGGCTCATGGAAAAGGAAACAGGATTTTTGTTGCCACTGGAAGATATACCATATTATTTGTGCTCAATTTAAGGAGTTTAGTTTGTGTAAAAATTATTCATAGCCTGGCTTCTATTTTTTTGAGACAGAGTTTTGATCTTTTGGTCCAGGCTGGAGTGCAATGGTGTGATCTCAGCTCACTGCAACCAGTGCCTCTCAGGTTCAAGTGATTCTCTTGCTTCAGCCTCCATGTCTGGCTAATTGTTTATTTTTAATACAGACAGGTTTTCACCATGTTGGTCAGGCTGGTCTAGAACTCCTGACCTCAGGTGATCCGCCCTCCTTGACCTCCCAAAGTGCTGGAAATACAGGCATGAGCCACTGTGCCTGGCCCATAGCTTGGCTTTTAATCCATCAAATGGAAATCCCCTTCTAAACCTAAATTCCCAAGTCCTTACCTGGGGGTATTTGTTTGTAGGTTCTACTTGGCTAAGCATGGCCAGCACAAAGGCAGCTGTTTTGCCAGTACCAGACTGAGATTGGGCAATTAAGTTCTGTGGGCTGAACAAGAAACAAACTGGTTAGGAGCTTAAATATCAAGTAATCTTTTAATTAATAAAGTTTAAAAAAATCAGTATTAAAAATTCATGTATGGAAAGAGACCTTGGATGAGAGTATAGCAGTTACATACTCCAGCTTCACAAGAACAAAGCACTATAGAAAGAAGGTTTTCTGTGGGATTTGAGGCACTCCACATCTTTTTTTTTTAATTATTTTGAAATGAGGTCTCACTCTGTTGACCAGGCTGGAATGCAGTGCAGCCTGATCAACTTGGCCCACTGCAGCCTCGACCTCCTGGGCTCAAGTGATCCTTTTCCTTCAGCCTCCCAGAGTGCTGGGATTATAGGTGTGAGCCACCGCAGTGGGTCTACTGATTCTTTTAAAATGTGAGTCAGCTCATGTTACTTCTCTGCTCAAAAACCTTCCAATCATTCCTCATTTCATTCAAAGTACAAGTTGAAAGCCTCATAATGGCATACAGGGTCCTGCATGATCTGCTCCCCATTACACCTCAGCTGTCATTTCTTACTACTCTCTCTCCCTTACTTCGCTCCAGCACACGGCCCCAGTGCTGCTCAGGGAAGAGGCCAGCCATGCTCTTTCTTAGGGCTTGTGCATTGGCTGTACTCTGCTTGGGACAGCTGTCCCCAGGTAACATACTAATTCCTTTCTCTCCATCAAGTCTTTGCCCAGCTATCACCTACTTCAGGAGATCCTACCATAACCACTTGATTTAAAAGTGTTATCTACCTTGAAATGCCTAAAAAAAAACAAGATGTAGGTTTTGGTGGCAGGGTAGGGAGCAACAGTGGCAAGAACCAAGTCTTGCCTTGAAGGTGGCAAGCAGCAGCCTCTGAAGCAGCTCAAGAAGCAGGCAAGGCTGGGCATGGTAGCTTACACCTGTAATCTCAGCACTTTGGGAGGCCAAGGTGGGTGCATCACTTGAGGTCAGGAGTTTGAGACCAGTGTGGCCAACATGGTGAAACCCTGCCACTCCTAAAAATACATAAAATTAGCTGGGCATGGTGGCAGGTACCTATAGTCCCAGCTATTTGGGAGGCTGAGGCAGGAGAATCGCTTGAACCTGGGAGGTGGAGGTTGCAGTGAGCTGAGATCACACCACTGCACTCCAGCCTAGGTGTGGTGGCTCATGCCTACAATCTCAGCACTTTGGGAGGTTGAGGTGGGTGGATTTCTTCAGCCTAGGAGTTTGAGACCAGCTGGGCAAAATACTGAAACCCTGTCTCTACAAAAGATACAAACATTAACTGGACATGGTGGTACATACCTGTAGTCCCAGCTACTTGGGAGTCTGAGGTGTGAGGATCCCTTGAGCCCAGGAGGTAGAGGGTGGAGGTTGCAGTCTGCAGTGATCTGAGACTGTGCCACTGCATTCCAACCCCGGTGACAGAGCAAGACCCTGTCTCAAAAAAAAAAAGCAGCAGCAGCAGGCCAAAGAGATGGACAAGGAAAATGAGGTCTTCCAGCAGGATTAAAAAAAAAAAAAAAAAACAGAAGAAACTTGAACTAAAAGTGAAGTCATGGGGGAAGACCCCCAGCCACAAGTGGAATTTTAAAATCTGACAAAAATAAGCTGTTCCTTGTGCCTGAGGTGATGGTGACTCTTCTTTGTTTGTTTGTTTGGAGACATGGTCTCACTCTGTTGCCCAGGCTGGAGTGCAGTGGCATGATCTCAGTTCACTGCAACCGCCACCTCTCAGGTTTCAAGCAATTCTTGTGCCTCAGCCTCCTGAGTAGTGGGACTACAGGCATGCACCATAGTGCCTGGCTTTTTTTGTTTGTTTGTTTGTAGAGATGGGTTTCACCATGTTGGCCAGGCTGGTCTCGAACTCCTGACCTCGAGTGATATGCTCGCTTCAGCCTCTCAGAGTGCAGGGATTACAGGTGTGAGCCACTGCATCTGGCCGCCACAGTGGTAACTCTTGATTCTATTTCTGTTTAAACATCTAGATTCCCTGTCTCTCAGTGCTTATATAGGTTGGGGAAAAAAAGAAGAAAAATAGATTCCCTTACTTGGCATGTTCTCCGAAAAAAGTAAAAAAAAAAAAAAGAAAAGAAAAATAGATTCCCTATCAAAACATCTGTTGCCCTTTGTAGTTAGAATAAAGTGTTGTACATTTAATTTCTTTTTTATTTTTGCCTTTTAATACAGATGAAGTCTTACAATGCTTCCCAGGCTGGTCCCAAACTCCTGGACTCAAGCCATCTGCCTGCCTTGGCCTCCCCAATTCCTGGGATAACAGGCATAAGCCACCCTGCCTGGCCAAAATTTATTATAATAATTTTTTTTTGGAGACAGTCTCACTCTGTTGCCCAGGCTAGAGTCCAGTGGTGCAATCTTGGCTCACTGCAACCTCCACCTCCCAGGTTCAAGCGATTCTCGTCTCAGCTTCCTGAGTAGCTGGGACTACAAGTGCCTGCCATCACACCTGGCTAGTTTTTGTATTTTTAGTAGAGTGGGGTTTTACCATGTTGGCCAGGCTGGTCTTGAACTCCTGATCTCAAGTGATCTGCCTGCCCTGGCCTCTCAAAATGTGGGGATTACAGGCGTCAGCCTCTGCACCCAGCCAAAATTTATTATTTTTAATTGAAGTAAAAAATATATAACATTTGCTCTTTTACCCACTTTTAAGTATACTATTCAGCAGCATTAACATTTGTAATTTATTACCTGTTATATTTTAATAAAAATGAATTATCTACATTTCAAACTAGAATGTAAGCTCCTGTGGGCATGAATTTTGGTCTGTTGTGTTGACTAATGTATATAACTGCCTAGCATAGTATCTGTTACATACCAGGCACTCAATAAATATTTGTTAATGATGAAAGGTACTAGATAATTCTAGTGATAATGCTGGTCTCTTCTAATATTTTCAATTTAAAAATGGGAAATCTAAAATGAAATGGATTGTAACAGGACACATACGGCTCAGCGAGCATCAGTGGCAATGCATTCTCTTGTATCTTGGATGGACGATTGAAACCCATGGCATAGACTCCTTGGAGAAGCTGTGGTTTCCTAGAAAAACAGTTAAAGATGAAAGTCACAGTCTCTTTGGTTGAGGAAAGCAGCAAAGTATCTGGAAGATTTTTCTCTTTTACTGTTTACACATAGATTTTTGTTTGTTTTTCAGACAGAGTCTTGCTTATTGCCCAGGCTGCAGTGCAGTGGTGCAGTCTCAGCTCACTGCAACCTCTGCCTCCCAGGTTCAAGCAATTCTTGTGCCTCAAGCTTCCCGAGTAGCTGTGATTATGGGTGCATGTCACCATGCCCCACTAATTTTTGTATTTTCAGTAGAGACAGGGTTTCACCATGTTGGCCACATTGGTCTTGAACTCCTGACCTCAAGTGGTCTGCCTGCCTCAGCCACTCAAAGTGCTGGGATTACAGGTGTGAGCTACTGTGCCTGGCCTATACATAGTCTGTAATCAACAATAATTGAGCTGTGCTGAATACATGTTAATACAACTAAAACTTTTATAGATCATCTGGAAATTTTACTAAATATCCCAAACACCTAAAGTATTTATTTATATTTTTTAGATGGAGTCTGGTCTTGCTCTGTTGCCCAGGCTGGTCTGGAACTCCTGGCCTCAAGTGATCCTCTCACTTTGGCCTCCAAAAGTGCGGGGACTGGAGGTGTGCACCACTGCACCCAGCTAAATTCTTTTATAAAATTTGGGCAGCGGCTGGGCACAGTAGCTCATGCCTGTAATCCCAGCACTTTGGGAGGCCAAGGCCAATGGATCATGAGGTCAGCAGATTGAGACCAGCCTGGCCAACATGGTGAAACCCCATTTCTACTAAAAATACAAAACTTAGCCAGGTGTGGTGGTGCACGCCTGTAATCCCAGCTACTCAGGAGGCTGAGGGAGGAAAATTGGTTTAACCTGGGAGCAGAGGTGGCAGTGAGCCGAGATCGTGCTACTGCACTCCAGTACTCCAAGCCCAGGTGACAGAGGACAGAGCAAGATTCTGTCCCAAAAAAAAAAAAAACTTGGTTAGCTAAAACTGTTCTGTTGTGATAAAAAGTAAAAAGATATCTATAACAGGCCTAAGATCTCTATTTCAGTGCAAAGGTAAGAGTCAGGAAGTGAATAAATACTCACAGCCGAAGCTCTTCAAAAGACTTCACCGAGTACAGGGGGGAGTTTGGATCCCGCTGTAGGACTTCCACTTGGTTTGTGTTATCGACAAGGTTGCTTCTGATCAGCTTGTTGAGTAAGGACTGGGCAGCTCTATCCTCTGTCAGGAAAAAAAAGCAAAGAATTTTTTTTTTTGAGACAGAGTCTCTCTCTGTCATCAGGCACCAGGCTGGAGTGCAGTGGCGCAATGTCAGCTCACTGCACTCCTGGGTTCAAGCAATTCTCCTGCCTCAGCCTCCCGAGTAGCTGGGACTACAGGCTTGCGCCACCACGCCCAGCTAATTTTTTTTTTTTTTTTTTAGACGGAGTTTCGCTCTTGTTACCCAGGCTGGAGTGCAATGGCACGATCTCGGCTCACCGCAACCTCCGCCTCCTGAGTTCAGGCAATTCTCCTGCCTCAGCCTCCTGAGTAGCTGGGATTACAGGCACGCGCCACCATGCCCAGCTAATTTTTTTATAGTTTTAGTAGAGACGGGGTTTCACCATGTTGGCCAGGATGGTCTCGATCTCTTGACCTCGTGATCTGCCCACCTCGGCCTCCCAAAGTGCTGGGATTACAGGCGTGAGCCACCGTGCCTGGCAAAAGCAAAGAATTTTAAAAGTCTTTGAAACCTACCAGGTGTTTACTCGAATTCAGTTGCCATTTGTGTTTTAAATAATAATGTACTAGGTCGGGCGTGGTGGCTCACACCTGTAATCCAAGCACTTTGGAGGCCAAGGCAGGCGGATCACCTGAGGCCGGGAGTTTAAGACCAGCCTGACCAACATGGTGAAACCCCGTCTTAAAAAAAAAAAAAAAAACTACTGATCATTCAAATTCAAGGTACATTATAGTTTTGACTTATAAATTAAAATAGTTTATTTTAAAAAAAAAAGGTTATGATACTCACACGACTCATTTAAGCCTCATATTCTTCTCCATATTCTAACAGCCCTCTTTACCTGCAGTTATCTATTCCTCCTATCCAGACCCACATATTTACTCCCCAGTTTGCACTCCATATAAATCTAAAGTAATTAACATATCACAACAACGAAAAAAATTAGGAATTAAAGTCTATACCTTAATATTTTATAAGTTGATCTCATCATCCATGTCAAATATATCAAAACATCATTAAGCTTAATTTTATTGAACAATAGAGAGGCAACTTAAAATTTCTTTTATAACACCCTGTTCAACTGTTCAGTTGTTCAATGTAAAATTTCTTTAAATGTAAACCATTAGAATTCCTTCGCCTACTGACTATAATGAACTTTTATGCTAGCACTGTATCTCCTATTAGTCAAGCCAAACTGGGTATAAAAACGAAGCTTCATAACAATCCACTTTCTTTTCTTTTTCTTTTTTTTGTTTGCTTAACCTTGTTTTTACCATTGTATGTAGCAAGTTTCTTGAAGACAACAATCCACTTTCTTAGAATGCAGAAGCTTGTTATTATATAAAGCTCCATGGCTGTGTTACCTTTCTCTTCTTCATCTGTCTTCTCTGCGTTGGCACTGGTCTTGACAACAGCACCTTTAGCAGACACAAAGTGGCCATCATTCAGAATCACATCCGATACCCAACAGCTGACACAATTCAAATTCTATGACACTAGAAGTTTTTGTAAAGGCCTGGGGAGCAAAAAATAAATGAGGAAACCGAGGCACTGATAAAAAACATTTTATTATCCCTAAATAAACAAAGATGTAAAACACTGATGTTCATATTTCTATTCTTTCCTACTCTAGGTCTCCTCCCCGTACCTCAATATCTAGTATTTCCCTCATTGAATCAGTACTTCTGAAATATTATAGAAAGATTATTAGAGCGATTAGTGATCGGAAAACTACCTTGATGCTCAAAAGAGGAATATCTATGCAAATTGTATTTTATCAATATGTGAACACACTGATGCCATTCAGATTCATGTATATAACAAATGAGCACCAAGACCAACAAAAAATATTCATGTATATAAATTTGTTTTTCTTTATTTGAGACAGAGTCTCACTCTTGGCCAGGGTGGAGTGTAGTGGTGCGATCTTGGCTCACTGCAACCTCTGCCTCCCGGATTCAAGAGATTCCACTGTCTCAGTATCTTGAATAGCTAGGATTATAGGTGTGCACCACCACACCCAGCAAATTTTTGTATTTTTAGTAGAGACAGGGTTTCACCATGTTGGTCAAGCTGGTTTTGAACTCTTGACCTCCGATAATCCGTCGGCCTCAGCTTCCCAAAGTGCTGGGATTACAGGTGTGAGCCATTATACCCAGCCTATAAATGATTCATAAAATCTATAGTCGAATGATACTATGGTTATACAAAAATCACACAAAAAAGATTTTAAGTGAATTTTGAGAAAGGCAGATGTTACATTTACTTCCTGTAATATTAAGTATATCAACAGTAATTTAATGGAAATCTTAAATTTTTGATAAATATGATTTAAGAATAAATAAACTGTCAGGTTGCTCATACTTTGTCTATCTCATCCCAAATTGAAGAACATTAAGAAAAAAATTAGTCTTTGTCAGTATAGTCCCATGGTTAGTAATTAGTCCCACTTAAGTATCCTCATTTTTTTCACCCCCTCCCTTGCTGTCAGTGTGCAATCCTCATTCTTATATTAAAAACACTTTGAAGCCAGATGTAGTAGCTCACTCCTGTAATCCCAACACTTTGGGAGGCTGAGGTGGGAGGACTGCTTGAGCCCAGGAATTAGAAACCAACCTGGGTAACATAGGGAGATCTCATCTCTACAAAAAATCAAAAATAAAAAATTAGTTGGGCATAGTGGGTTGTGCCAGTAGTCCCAGCTACTCAGAAGGCTGAGGCGGAGGATCACTTGAGTCTGGGAGGTTGAGGCTCCAGTGAACCATGATAGCACTACTACACTCCGGCCTGGGCAACAGAGCAAGACCCTGTCTCTTAAAAAGTAAACAAATAAACATAAAAAAATTAAAACACTTTGGTCACATAATCCAGTTTGTTGGTTCACAAATCAAATGGTTACCAGTATCTGCCAATGCCCTGCCTAGTACAAATAGTTTTTTTTCTTTCCAGACAGCTGTTATGCCAAAACAGAAATACTGAAGGAAATCACATTTGTTTTCAAACTAGCTGTTAGTTACTTACCATTGGCATCTGATTTGATTTTCTCTTCCTTAAGATGCAAGTTGCTCAACTAAATGGAGAATATGGGGGAGGGGGAAAGTATCAGGAAAACCACTTAAAAGATTTGGTATCAACAGAGCCTCCCTAATCAAGCTGGGGATAAAACAGCCATTCTCAAGGTATATTCATTAGGACCAATTCATTAGGTTGTTCTGTTTACTAAATGTCTGATGAGAATAAACAACATTTCTCATAAATACATCAGTGGAAAAAATGCTCCAAATCTGTACCTTCTACTTACAATTCTAGGAGAGAAATATAATTTGTGAGTTTGCTTAATGCCCTGATTATAAACTCTCTGTAGCATATTATTAGAGTTGTCATTCTCTCATATTTCTTTGGTGTGTGTGTGTCGGGGGGAATGGCTCCATTCCAAATCATATTTCAAACAAGGAAATTTAAAGAGATTTTGAAAATGCAGTCATAATTTGGAGAACTGGGAAAGGAGGACTGCAACAAAAAGCATCTGTGAGGCCAGGTGTGGTGGCACTTGCCAGCACTTTGGGAGGCCGAGGCGGGCAGATAACCAGGTCAAGAGATTGAGACCATCCTGGCCAACATGGTGAAACCCTGTTTCTACTAAAAATACTAAAATTAGCTGGGTGACTATAGGCACTTGCCTATAGTCCCAGCTACTTGGAAGGCTGAGGTGAGAATCGCTTGAACCCAGGAAGCAGAGGATACAGTGAGTCGAGATTGAGCCACTGCACTCCAGCCTGGGTAACAAGAGCGAAACTCCGTCTCAAAAAAAAAAAAAAAGAAAAGAAAAAGAAGAAAAGCATGTGTGGGTAGGCATCAGTCATGCTGCAACTTTCAAGACATAAGACCACAGCGTGCTGATGTGCAGACTCATATTCAAGTCACCTTTTGCTGGTGTCTGATGTAGTTGGGAATGGCCTGGTGCATTGTGACACACTGTGTAATCAAAATACCCACTGGGGTGAAGTGAGAATAGAAAGGAAGAGGCAGAGCAGAGACATTTCAAAGAATGAATTATTAAGACTTTGATCGAATACTGTACATTAGAGATATCCTAGCAGGTCTTATCTCCCCTATTAGAATGCATATACTTTCCTGACAGGGATTGTTTCATTTTTTACTGCTCCTTGAGGAGCAGGGCTACCCTACAGGAAATATGCCCAGAGTAGTAGACTATTTTTAGTTTTTGGATGTAGCACAGAGCAAACTAAGTGCTCTAGTTGTAAATTTTTATTTAAAAAAAATTTTTTTTTTTAAAGGTCAGAAAGCATTCAGAAGTCTCGGACCACAGCACAGGGATTAAATGGAAACTCTGGCGTGAGTAAGTAACCCTTCAAGCTAAAGCTAACCCTAATCACAAAATATCAAGCAAGGCATCATCTAATAAAAATTAAAAAAAAAAAAAGAAAATCACAACCTAACAGTTCTTTCTTTTTTTTCTGCAGACAGGGTCTCACTCTGTTGCCCAGGTTAGAGTGGTGCAGTGGCATGATCATGGCTCACTGAAGCTTCAACCTCCTGAGGCTCAGGCAGTCCTCCCACCTCAACCTCCCAAGTAGCCAGGACTACAGGAGCTCACCACCATGCCTGGCTAATTTTTTTTTGGCGGGGGGGTGGGGACAGAGTCTTACTCTGTTGCCAGGCTGGAGTCCAGTGGTACGATCTCGGTTCACTGCAACCTCTGCCTCACGGGTTCAAGCGATTCTCCTGTCTCAATCTCTGGAGTAAGTGAGATTACAGGCACATGCCACCATGCCCAGCTAATTTTCGTATTTTTAGTAGAGACAGAGTTTCACCATGTTGGCCAGGATGGTCTCGATCTCTTGACCTTGTGATTGCCCACTGCAGCCTCCCAAAGTGCTGGGATTACAGGCATGAGCCACTGCACCTGGCCTGCCCAGCTAATCTTTTATTTATTGTAGAGTAAGAATCTTACTGTGTTGCTCAGGCTGGTGTTGAGCTCCTGGGCTCAAGTGATCCTCCAGCCTCAGCCTCTCCAAGTGCTGGGATTAGAAATGTAAACCACTGCATCAGGCTGCATTTCTGCTGTCCTTCTAAGTTCAAGAACAGGGGAAAAGGGAAAGACAGTAGACAGGGGAAAACAAAAAAATGTTTTAATGAGTGGTTTGTTGGGAATGGAGGAGCCCCATTTCTCTTCACGGAAATGGATCGGAAGTTTCTGTTGTCTTTTTGCTTTGGTACTGGGAGAGAGGAAGCAGAAAGGGAACACAGTGGAGAGATCAGAAAAAAGGAAATTAACAAAAAGGAAATCATTCAACTGGAGAAGGCCAATTGAAAAAAAAAAAAGAAATTATAAAGCAGTAAAAATCATTCACTAATTCTGAAGGATAAAGAACACACAATGGGGGAGGGTAGTTGGGGATAGCATGCTGGGCTTAATACCTAGGTGATGGTTTGATAGGTGCGGCAAACCCCCATGGCACATTTTACCTATGTAACAAACCTGCATGTCCTGCACATCTACCCCAGAACTTAAAAAAAAGTAAAAATAAAAAAAAACAACAAACAACTGGGAGCAGTGGCTCACGCCTGTAATCCCAGCACTTTGGGAGGCTGAGACAGGTGGATCACTTGAGGCCAGGAGTTCGAGACCAGCCTGACTGACATGGCGAAACAGCATCTCTACTGAAAATACAAAAATTAGCTGGGGGTGATGGCACATGCCTGCAATTCTAGCTTCTCGGGAGGTTGAGGCAGGAGAATCGCTTGAACTTGGGAAGTGGAGGCTGCAGTGAGCTGAGATCGTGCCACTGCACTCCAGCCTGGGCGACAAGAGTGAAACTCCACCTCTAAGTAAATAAATAAATAAATAGACTGCTCACATCCTGCCAATTAACCTGGTCTAGTACTCAGGGCTGTTAAAAAGAGAAAGAGAGGCTGGGCGCTGTGGTTCATGCTGCTAATCTTAGCACTTTGGGAGCTGAGGTGGGTGGACTGCTTGAGCTCAGGAGTTTCAGACCAGCCTGGGCAACGTGGCAAAACCCCATCTCTACAAAAATACAAAAACTAGCCAGTCGTGGTGGCATACTTCTGTAGCCCCAACTACTCGGGAGGCTGAGGTGGGAAAATTTCTGGAGCCTGGGAAGTCAAGGATGAAGTGAGCATGAAGATGCCACTGCACTCCAGCCTGGATGACAACAAGACCCTGTCTCAAAAAAAACTTTTTTTTTTTTTTAATAGCAAGTGTACAGGAGTAAAGTTAACAGTACTCATTCCTATGGTAATAATTACTATCTAAAATAAATGACAGAGACCTGAAGTTTAAACGAGTTAATGAGGTATAAATGAGTTAGAAATAACCATTACCATTTTCTTTTTGTTTATTTTTTGAGACGGAGTTTTGCTCTTGTTGCCCAGGCTAGAGTGTAATGGTGGAATCTCGGCTCACTGCAACCTCTGCCTCCTAGGTTTAAGCGATTCTCCTGCTACAGCCTCGCAAGTAGCTGGGATTACAGGCATGCACCATCACGCCTGGCTAATTTTATTTTTATTTTTTTTAGACGGAGCCTCAGTTGCCCAGGCTGGAGTGCAGTGGCACAATATCAGCTCAATGCAACCTCCACCTCCTGGGTTCAAGTGATTCTCCTGCCTCAGCCTCCCAGTAGCTGGGATTAGAGGTACCTGCCACCATGCCTGGCTAATTTTTTTGACTTTTTAGTGGAGACAGGAATTCACCATGTTGGCCAGGTTGGTCTTGAACTTCTGACCTCAGGTGATCCACCGGCCTTGGCCTCCCAAACTGCTGGGATTCCAGGCGTGAGCCACCACATCTGGCCCATATTTTTAATATTTTTAATATTCAACAATAAAAGAACATACAACAATGAAAGGATCATTTTTTAAAAATTATTTTTACTTATTTATTTTTTTTCAGACTGAGTCTCACTCTGTTGCCCAGGCTGGAGTGTAGTGGCATTATCATGGCTCATTGCAGTCTCAACTTCATAGGATCAAGGATCCTCCTGCCTCACCCTTCCAAGCAGTTGGGACTACTGGTGTCTGCCACCACACTGGGCTAACATTCTTTTGTTGATACATTGTTCAACTCAAAGTTAACAGAGTAAAATGAAATGTATAGGAAAAGGTGGTAGCAACACTATAAATAAAAGTAATAGATGTCCTTTTGATTACAATGTATCAGAATTCTGATGAGGTTCTCGTAGAATCTACAAGCTACACAGTCTTTACTTGGCTGTAAGGATCTCAAAGCCTACAACATAAAAGCAGCACTAAAGTTTGCATTACCCACCTTAGTGTCAGGGAACTGACTGCTGAAACTTACGTTGAAAGAGTTAGTTCAGATACCTTTCTTTGCTCTATTTATTTGAATCAAAAGAAAAAAACAATTTTTCTTGCAACTTGATTGGAAACCATTTTGAAATCAAGAAAACTAATGAAAAGGCAAGCCAGACAAATAGACAAAAACTCCCACCATTTCCAAATTGCTCAAAGCCCTACTTTTATAATAGCCAGAATTTTAAGTGCCGTTAATATTTTAGTTTTTAAGATGTCAAAATAATTGAGAACTATTCAGTTACACTTCATTTTATTCAAAAGCTACTTGAGAACAGATTCTTGAAACATAAGAAGGAAGAGGCTGGGCATGGTAGCTCACGTCTGTAGTCCCAGCACTTTGGGAGGTTGAGGAAGGCGGATCACCTGAGATTGGGAGTTTGAGACTAACCTGACCAACACGGAGAAACCCCATCTCTACTAAAAATACAAAAAATTAGCCAGGCATAGTGGCACATGCCTATAATCCCAGCTACTTGTGAGGCTGAGGCAGGAGAATTGCTTGAACTTGGGAGGCGGAGGATGCAGTGAGCTGAGATCATGCCACTGCATTCCAGCCTGGGCAACAAGAGCTAAACTCTGTCTCAAAAAAAAAAAAAAAAAGAAGAAGAAGAAGAAGGAAGGGAGAAGAAGGAGAAGGAGGAGAAGGAGAAAGAAAGAAGAAGGAGGAGGAGGAGGAAGAGGCAGCGGCAGCAGAAGAACAAGAAAAAGGGGAGG